GAAAGGGTGAGTCCTTTTCAGCAAGGAGGTAAAAGCAGATTTCAACAGGATCAAAAAAACCCAAGAGCTTGCTTTTTACTCCATAGCAAGAATTGCATTTTCAGGAGAAAATTTGAATACCAAAATATTTGAGCCAAAAAAAATTTTTAATTTTTGGCAGCTCAGGACAGGTTTGGGCTGCTCAGTTTTTGACAGTAAAGTAACATATATTCTCACCATTTTTTTCCATCTTCTTTTACATTATGCTGACATTTTCAAATGCATTTTCTCTCAAAATACAGTTTCTCTTCAACATTTTCAACAACGCTTTTTCACGGTATTTAGTTCTCAGGGTTTCCCACTGCCAAGGGAGCAGCCGAGGATCCAGAGAGGAGCTGTGGAAATGCATTAGCTATGCAGGCTCTCAAGAGCAGCTAGGAGCAGCACTGGATCCCTTTGACCCTGGCCTTTGGCAGTGGCTGGTGGTGTCCTATTCTGACGTGGGTCAGAGATGCAGCAGAGCTCTCAGCCCACTTCTGCAGGGGGGAAGATGAAAAGTGTGGGTGTGAGGAAAAAGGGCCAAGTCAAATGCAAGTCTTAGCAAGACAGCAGAAAAAGCAGAATATCTCATGTCCCAGCAGTGTCTCACTACTTGTGCCAAGCCTTACAGTCAGAGATAGCATCTCCTGCCCAGCCCACAGCTGTAACAGAGCATGGAGAGTCCCCTCTGCTTGCAGCCAAAAGCAGTGTCTCAAACCTCCATGTTGCTACAGTACTTTGTAGTTGGAAATGGAATGAATGGTCCTCTATACTTTCCTGATTTTTCATACATAAAAGCCAAGTGCAAGCAGCCCTGACTGAAGCCCTGGAGGGGTTGGCAGTGGCACACCTCCTGCTCTGCTCAGAGCAATCTCCCTGGGTCATCCAGTGGGGAGACACAGATCAGAGAAGCACAGGAAATCTTGGGACAGATTGGGAAAACACATTTAACTAAATTCACCTCTATTTTCTTACTGGACGGAAAAATTATAACATTTCTTTTTGCCTACAGGCATCTTTCCTTCTTCAGGCCAGTCCACCTCCACTAACTTCCAACCAGAGGAATTCCCATTTCATATGCAGAGCACCAGAGTATTGCACGCACATAACCAGAACTGCCACAGGCAGACACCAGGAACTACACTGGAAGTGTTTAAAACATGCTGATGTAATCTCACTCTCCTGCTCATCCAGCCCACTAGACTAGAAATGATATCTAACTGGGTTTCTGAGCTGCTCTGAGCAAACAATGTGAAGATATAAGTCTTGGTTTGGTGCATGCCCAGAGTGTTGAACTAATAACACTTGCCTCATATGTGAGCAGCTGCAAAACCTGATATTTACACAAGGATTCACAAAGATGAGAAAAGACTGCTTTTTATTTTTTTTTTTTTTAGATGACAGGCTCTGATTCAAATAGGAATTGATTTGGGAAAACCCTCTGTTTATGTCATACAGCATGCCAGGTTAAATGATGACAGTAGATTATCTTTTTTTATATAATTGAAGATTAGCTTTAGAGTGTTGATATCTTTCCCACATCAATATAGGAGCATTTTTACCTACCAAAGCACCCATCATTTTGCATGTCAAATAGGTCATGAGCAAAGCAAAACTCTACCTTTAAAAGCACTCAATCAACAAGATCACAAATGCACTTGGTTTAAACACTATTACACCCAAATACACTTGCTGGTGGGACCCACTTTTTTGCAGAGCTGTCTCTGGGAACACACGCGTGCTTGCCTTACCTCTGACAAGGTGGCTCCAATTTCAAAGCTTAGAACTGCCTCTAATAGGCTTTTTCAAGACTCAGATATCAGCTGGCACGTGGTTCTGCTGGCAACGCAAGGGCTGTTGTCTCAACCACACAGAAATAATATGCAGAGATGGATTTTATGAGGCCAATTAGCAGAGCTGGAAAACACAACCCAGTTTTTGGTTATGAAGCCCTACCTCAAGACCTGACCTGAGTTGCTTTTTGGGTTTTTTTCAAATTTATCAGGTGGTCTAATTATATCCCCTTTCTTACGAATCTTTCATCACTTCTATGGAGAAATGATGAAGCAGGCGATGCTCCTGATGGCAGAGCACAGCAGAGCTAATGGCAGCATGGATATGGCAATGTATGATCTATTAGATTGCTACAGGACTTGAAATAGCTTAAAAACTCAAGCTAACCCTCAAACCCACATGCCTCCTTGTAGTTAGAGTTTGGGGGCTTTGGTACGTACATTAGACTGGTTCCAACTATTTTTTTTTAATGTCATGAAGGTACATGAATCCAACCCTCAGCTCAGGAGTGCTTCTGGCTCTTCATCTAACAGCAGTACAACACTAAAGCAACAAAAGAATAAATGCAGAGAGACAGACAGTCTCAGCTGAGTTTGGGATATCTGAGGTCTCACTCTTCACCATATTTAAAGTCGTATTTTATCCTAAATCCCTCCCTCTCTCTCTCTACAAGTTTTTTGAGGCAAAATGCAGAATGTCCTTCAGTGTCATCAGGGATAGCAAGGCAGTTGCCAGTCATCCTATGGAAAACTATGGTTATCACAATAGGTTCTTCCAAATAAAACAGTTGGAGCTTATGGACACCGTATGTACTTCCTATTGCTTTAAGAGCTCCAGCTGTTCTGCCTCCACAGTGGCAGTACACATGTGCTGCTGTGGAACCAAAAACAGAAAAAGGATGAGGAAAAGAATGATTTCACATATTTTTGTCTGATGCTTCCATCTTGTGGTCAACTCAGAAAAGAAAAATTTGGCTTTTTATTTCAGTAAACGTATTATTAACAAATGAAAGGAAACTTTGGAACTTTAAAAGTGTCCTTAATTCTTACCTCCAGTTGTGTGGATGGGAATGAATTGGAGTTGGAAATTAGATGAGTTTTCTTTTTGAAAAGCATTGAACATCAATGCTAGCAGGGGAAGTGGATAGTGCCTCCTCTGCCACCCACTATGTTTTAGTCTCACACAAGCTGGCTGTGCCGAGGGGTGCAGGACAGAGACAGGGTCAGATGAACAAGCCCTAACCCTAACCCAACCCTTTATCTTGCTGTAGGCATCAGTGATGTGACTCCTATGGAGTATGGACTCTGCTTCAGTTGCTGGCTTGATGAGCTAGCCCAGGTCCGTAGGATGACTTTCTTCTTTGTTTCTGAGCCCACGAAGGCTTTCCTTTGTTTCCCTCTCATCTTTCCTGGGGATTATGCCAGAAAATAGCTCTCATACCACAAAACCTCTAACAATGGGGATAAGTTGATGGATTACAACCATTTTGCTGAGACAGTTGCAAAGGCACTGTGCCTCAGGTTTCCAGAGCTACTGGGAGCATCTCAAGGTGGCTGGATGACTTGTCTCTGGCTGGTCAACCTGCTGCTTCCCTTTTGCACCATTCATAGCAATCCAGAAGCTTAGCCAGAGGTCTTTTTACCTGCATAAACTAAGGTCTCCTGCACAGAGCTCATGTGGAAAGCCATTCCTTACTTTTCCCTTCACATTCTAGCCAGAAGCCCACCCTTCTCTGCTACTCCAGACACAGTGCTGCTCTTACCCAGCTCCACTCTCCCATGCAGACTGCCTCTGCCATGTGCCAGTGCACTCCCTTGACACATTTCCAGCCAAATACCTGCAGTGGCCTTGAGACAGGGGTCAAAATGCTGAGTGGGACTCCTGTCAGACAGCCAGTCTGGGATTATCAGTGGAACAAGGGCTAAGCTTTTGTCCAAAACTAATCTACTTCAGTAAGAGAGCGAGAAACTCGCTATCCATGCTCCCCAGTATGGACAGACATGCTCACAGGCACATACACAACCATATCCTACACATGGGAGAATGCACCCAACTCCATAAAGGGGAAGAAGGGGATGGAGAACTGAATCTAAGGTTTGTAGCCAGAGAGTACCTCTATACTCTCTTGCACAGGGAGAGATTTCGGTACCCCCACCCTTTACCCCACATAGCAGGAAAAATGAATACATCAATCCTCATGTTTCACACAGCTGCTGAACTTCAGGAAGAGCAGGTGCACAGCTGAGCAGGATGTAAGGTCACAAGACTCTTTCCCGACTCCCCGGGGTGGCAGGAAGTGTTGTGTGACCATGCAGTGTTACAAGATAAAGGCTCCTCTTCAGCAAGACACAAAGGAGAGACAACCTACTCTAACCCTTACCTAAGGCAAGGGCCAAGGATGCTGCACCCCATTTGAATGAGGAGGGGTTTTCCTTCGTGAGGAAGTGGTGAAGGAGGGGAAGAGGTTAGATGGAGCATTCATTTCCCAGCATGTTCTAAGAACAGTGACCGCCCGATGGACAGAAAGTTGATAACTGGTCTATTCACAGGGCTTTCCCACAGCCAGCCTTGCCTGGCTCCCACTGGCAAACCATGCAGGAAGTGTAGCCAGTGCAGGAAGTGCAGCTGTCAAGTTTAACTCTGATTTCAGGTTGAAATCTTACAAATCTTCTCAAATTTACATTCAGTTACATCCACTGTGTAAAATTTGTTACTGTGGGAGCACAGAACCATAGGACAAATCTTGTTTGATTCATAAAGGAAGTGAGTTCAGCGTAGGTTTAAAAAACCCTGCAGCCTGAGGCCTTTCCTGAGTGTGCGCAGACCAGTAGGCATCAAACCCTTCAGCACACCTGGTGCCGAGGCCAAAAAGGATTTCATCTTGTGTGGGGAACCCAGTGCCCATCTCAGGGCACATATTCTGCTCTAGGCAGCAGTCACTGGAGCATCACACCTGCTGTGATTTGGGAGAAAACATGACTCGCTATAGATGTCACTTGCTACCCAGGTCATTTGCTGCCAGCACTTCCCCACTGTGCCCACTGGAAGGGCTCAAAGACCTGCTTGTCATTGCTACCTGATGGCTTTGCAGAGAACTCAATTAACCAAAAACCTCTTAAAGGAAAAAACTCTGAGCAACACTGATTCTTTATAACCATTTTTCAATAAGTGAGTATAGACCCCTCACATATCCTTAAATTATATATCATTTATTGAAATATAGAGATCTTAATTTACAAGAGTTTTTCAAAGACAAAATATCAACAGGGGCATTTTTGAAATACATTTTGTGCCTACCATCACTCAGGCCAGTTTACCTTCTTCAAACATTTCACAACAGCCATCATTTTGGAAACACTTCCTTTTTTATTATTCTAAAATATAACTTTTGGACATTCAAAGTGCAACAGTTAACGTGCCTGTGGAATATATCACAGTAAAAAAAATATAAACAAAGGCAGTGATATAGCTGTCATAAATGTTTTGGCAGTATTCTAGAAGTCTATATAAAAATACTTATATACATATTGATGTATAACATCACCATATCTCACGTCCTTCATCATGTAATAGGACCATTTTGTACAAGTTTCAGACCACGCAATAAAGGAATTGGTTGGCCATTCCAAATGAAAAGCTGCATTTCATAGGCTAACACTGATTGTCGTTATACAATTACCGTAGAAGAAGTTTTGGGAATATCTCTCCAGAGGCTTCTCAAAAATTAAGCCATAAAAAAAAATGTCTATAATACTCATAATATTGTAAAATCAAACAATTCATCCTCTCACACTTCTTTCTCTCTAGTAAATTCCTTCTCTTCCTCTGCTTCTCATTCCAGTTTCCAGGCCAGCTCATCTGATTCCAAGCCTGCAGTGAGCTGGCTTTGACTAGACCCCTGCCACAGATGCAGTTCATCTTCACAATACCCATGACAAGATGGAGAACTAACATTACCATGGACCAGAAAGTGAGCCAGCTCTGGTTCACATCCACTATCTGAGTCTAGCCTGAGATGCGCTGTGAGATACAGAATGAAACTGGTGGGGAAAAGGCAAGACTGCGTGAAAATGTCCTTAGATTCCAGTAATTGATATAATAAAATGTGCTAGGGCTGATTTTCAAACCCCGAAGAACACTAGGCCATGTGCAAAAATGCAGGTGAAATTGCTTGCCTAATTTGAATGTGCAGATATAACGACTACACATGCAAATTAAGGCACATGTGGTCTCAATTGGCCATTCAGATATCTGGGATGTCCACAGACAATTTGTGTTTCCTCAATTTGTAGTTCGTAACTGGAGGGAGACCTTATATCATCTCACCAGTCCTGGCTATATCAAGAGTCTTGTGTTTCACAGTTGTCTCCATACAGAGCTCAGTGACATGTTTGCCTAAAGCATGGCTCCCAGGAAGACACTTGGTCCTGATCTGTTGAATACAAGAAATAGAGAATGCACCATCATTCACAGTTCTTTCTGATTGTCAGTTTCCATCAGGACTGAAAATGTAGGGGCTTGCTTCAGGTCCTGTTTTCACATCTGCTGTAGTTTGTACATGGCCTCAGCCTGGTGACAGTTTGAAACCCATACTCAGAATTATTTGCTCGTGTGGCATTCCACCCTGTAACATTGGCAATATTACATTTGCTTTCATTTAACCCACAACTGTCCACAACAAGTGAAACCAAGGGAACTTGTGGAGCTTTTCACAGGGCCATTCGAAGTTAAACTGTAGTTTAACATGCAGCATGTTCTGTCAGTCGCTGCTGGTCCGTCTTTCACACTTCCTAGGAAAATACTGCAAGACAGGAATGAGTTTACACCACATTTGCATTGGTTATGTCGTGACAGAGGCTGGGCACACCCTAGGAGGTGCTCCTCACACTGAATTAAGGCAAAGTTTGAAAGGTTGGGGCCTTTTGCAGTGAAGTACCTTTTTTCACATGTAAGTCTTCCAAGGCATCATAACTCAATAACACATTGTACAGTGATAGCAGTAATCATAATACTTTGTTCATATAAGTGGTGTCAAAAAAACAACAATTGCAGGCCGAGAACAGGCTTGTTTTCATACACGTTCCTCCAAAATACACTCTTGGAAGTAATTACCTTTTGTAGTTACAGTCTGCAAAAATAAGAGAGCTTTCTGTTCCTGTTTAAACCCGAAAACTAAGAAAAGAATATTTGCTGCAGAATTATTTCTGCTTATTTAACTCGAGTTCCAGGCTGGGAGAGATATCTTAGTTCAAATATCAAATAAATTCTTCACAGCTAACCCTGGGATAAGATTTCTTTTGAGTACCCATGAAACATTAATAATGGGATATTGCTGGTGGTTTATCACAATCTTCTATTCTCCAGAATCTTGAAAAGCTGATATAATTTTTTTTCAATTTAAATTTTTAGAACTTCGATCAGAGGACAATTAAATGCTTCTAGTACATGTGATTAGAAAAGCTACTCAGCTTATGAAAGAAAACAAAATCTTAACTTTTTTCTCCATGTTAAAGTAGTTTTAGCTAATCAGAACAATTACCATACTGTATAGATTAAAAAAAAGAAATTGTCTCATAATAATTTTCAGGTGATAATTTTCTCCCCTGCACTTCAAAAAGCTTTTTGAAACTGTGCTTTTACTGAAGGACAATGAATAGTAAAATATACATTTAGTGTTACTGAAAACAGTAGTAGTATTATCTTGAAAACAGCTACCTTCTAGAGTTAATAAAGACTTACTAGGTTTCTAACACCTATTATAGACTGACTTTTAATTATTATTATTATCATTATTATTATTATGATTGTTATTCCCCTTTACTTGCATTAACGGTTAAAAGTAACATGTTTTGTAGTACCAGTCAGTCCCTCATGGTTTTAGACCTTTTTGGTCCAAAAGTGGTTTTCGCATGTTCTTTAATTCACATGGTAGTTCAACAGCAGCTGACATTGAAATTGAGAGAGGAAGTACACAAAATTCACGAGTGATCTCTTCTAAAATCCATGACATATGTTCAATGTGCACCCCAAAAGGTCCTTGAGTAGACAGTTATTTACATAATTACAATGGTGAAATATTGCTGCAGTGGAAATTTGATCCATCAAAGTCATATGAATGCCCTTGAAACACAAAACTGGTCTGTTGGTGGCCTTTCCCTTCGTCCCCCTACCAGTTCGAATGGCAAACAAAACTGAGATGCCACTGAAGTACTGCAAGAAGCAACACTAAAAAAATCCATCTTCAACATGTCTCTTTCATTCATACTCAGGCTGATTCCTCTGCTCATTACTGGGAGTTCCTCTGTACAAATCCACCTCCTCTTTACATCCTTGATGTTTCAATAAAGTGGTTTTCTCTGTGGAGCAGAAGTCTATAGATGACAAGGCAAGCTTCCCCCTATGCACAGCTGGAAGACGTCCATGGGGTTACAGGAAACTGTCCTCCACCAGGTCTGAGGAGTCAATTCCAATGTCATCCATCATGTCAATGTCCTCAATGGTCTCATCCTCTCTCTTGATGAAAGTAGAGCTACTGGAACCGGTTTCAATGGCACTTTCTTCAGATGTCTGTGAACTGGAAGAGACAAATATCTCAGAGATAAGATATGTAGCAAATGTGGCAGAACTGAACACTACCTCCCAGATGCTTTCTGACCCATGGCGCAATCTTAAGTGACTATGACCACCAGTTTCTTAGGTCATGACATATCTTGTATATCATTAGTGAAACACCTTGGAATTCAAAGGAGCAGTTGTTCATAATGTTCCTCCAAACACTTTCAGTCAGAGACTTGTTAGAGAAACAGTTTTATGATAGTGCTGTGACAATAGGTCACTTAGGTAAATCTAGGGAGGTCAGGTGAAAATAAGATGACAATAACAGAGATTAAGATAAGAATAACAGAGAGATATAATAGATCCTAATCTGGATAGTTCTTCTTAGAGACTTCATTCTTTCCCCTCTTGAATATTACACAAAAATATATTAAAAAAAAAAGCTTCTAGGTTGGTAATTCTATAAACTATGAATTAAGTGCTGAATTAAATCTTGGCCATTCACAGTTAGGATCACACAGTGTTGTGTTGTAGTGGAATTGGTCATGCAAACTGACAAGAGAGAAGTAAAAAGTCCTGGATACCCTGCTGTCACAGAAAACTATACCATAGAAGATATTCAAAACTTCTCCTAAATTTTTAAACTGGTCTCATGCAGAACAAATCAATCCTTTGAGAGCTCCAAGATGTTGAGCTGCAGAGGCAAGATGTGTTGCAAAATATACCCACAGAGCCACAAGACAGCCACTGTGGCTTGGCCAAGCTAGTAAGGGAGTCCCAGAGACACACGGGAGCACCCTACTAGGAGTCCCCTTCCAGAGGCAATCATGTTGCCAGAGGAAAATTACATTTTTCCCATGGAAAACACTGTGGCCAGTCATACTACCATATTTACATGGGACTCCCCCAAAAGGTGTTTTCAACAGAGCTAAGAAAACGATCTGCAGAGTAGGACGCTGAAGAATGTTAATGGAGATTGCCAAACATGACCCCAAATGGTGACTACGGGCTACAGGATCTGTAAACTGCACCTACCTGTGTCTGTTTCTTTTGCCAAGCTCATCTTCAGAAACAGGGTCAATGTCAGGCAGGGGGATGATGTATCCACTGTCAGCACTCAGCCTCTGCTCATCAAAACCACTCTCCCTGTCCTTTAGCTTGTCTTCATTCTTGTAGGTGACACCAATGTAAGCATTGTCACAGTCCCCTCTCATGCGTGTGACAGCTGGGTGATCACTTTTCAGGAAGTCCAAGTGAATCTTCTCGTAGCTCTGAAAATATTCATTTCAAACCCCTCATTAGTAGCTATTCACTGAGGCTGCCTTTCTTCAGATGGGCACCCGTGATTTGTTAGCCCAGCAAATATTCTGCCCTATGAGCCATTGACACTGGATGGAGAAGCCCAGCATCTTCAATTACTTTGAAGGGAGAAGTGACACGTAAGTTTCAGATGATGCAAGAGCAAATGTGGTATCACAAAGCAGACTAGTAAATGTGAAAGAAGGGTAGGGAGAGGGAGAAGGGAGTTAAGGTAGGTGGGAAAATGAAACACTGAATGATGGGGCAGGAAGAGCATGCCCAGAGCTATCAGAAGTGTGGGGGAAAACTTGATGATGTAAGGGTACAAAGACAGAGACAGGGAGCTTATACACATGGGGCAAGAAGTCCCTTTTTTAGAATTATTTTACTGCCTAGAAAATCCCAAGAAAATATATAAAACCAATTCTCCAGTAGAAAAATTGAGTTGGTAGGATTTCATTAAAAATGGAGAGTTCTGCTTCCCAGCCACTACTGCAGAACTGCTTCTCTCAGTAAGCTTGAATGAAGAAACCGAACGTGCAGTGTCCCCATCCTAATCACGTAATTCATGTAGGTTAGGATGTGCCAGTTCAGTGCTAATGGCTCTTGTCGCTGGAACAACACTTATAATTCCCTCTGGAACAGTATAGAGAAAACACAGAGAAAATTACAAAGAACAAACCTTTTTGTACTCTCCAGGCAACAAGTTCTCCACAATTTCACTCAAATGGTAGAAAGAAGGTCTTTTCTCTGGTTCACTGTTCCAGCACTTCACCATGATCTCATACCTGCAGATTAGATGGAAACCAATTTATCCAACTAGTAAAGGAACATGAGTAACCAAACAGAAACTAAAGCCAAGTCTGGAGGCTGGCCAGGTGTGGAAAAGCCAAGTGCACACATACACTTCATTGGTAGCATGGTCAGGTTTGGCCATTCGGTATCCACTCTTGATCTTATTGTAGAAAGTAGAATCGACCATCATGCCAGGATATGGTGTGCCACCTGCAGATAAAAGAGAATTAGGAGTACTACTCTGTACTTGACTATCCATGCAAAGTTCCCAAATACTGCCTTGCTGTTCATGTCAAAAAGTGCTAATGCTATAAATTGACATGGCATCAAAATGGTTCTTTCTCAGTCAGTGTTTCACTTCAGAACTACCATTTGGATGACATTAAGTCCCAATGTGAAACATTGGCTAGGAAAGATTGAAGTAGGTACTACTTAGAAAAAAATATCTTTGAAGTGTTTATAGAATGTATTGGCTACAGAGATCAGATGATCCCTGTCATCAACCATCATTTGGCATATCTGAGGCCATGACTCTGCCTTGCCACTGAATTTCTGTGAGATCTTAGCCAATACACTTGCTCTGTTTGGTATTATTGCCTTTGGCACCTGTACGACAGCTGAGAGTGACATGGCCTGAGTTACACACCCCATCCTGGCTTTGAGGGTGAAGCCTCAGTGTGAGCAAGTCCCCTCTATACCCAAGTGGTCCCACCTGGGCAGCTGGCTTTAGAACAACAGCTAACATGTCAGGTGCATGGATTGTTCAAAAGTTTGGACTTGGCCCCTGAGCTGACACAGTTAGCTGATAATTTGGGGCTGCAGCACACAGGAATCATTGCACTCATGCTCGGTTGATGCTGAAGTGAAAAAAGGGTCATTCAAGCAGAAGTCAGCATGGTAGCAAGATGTCAAAATTGACCTTGTTAACAAACACTGCTGAGGATATATTTTGCTTTCCAAGAAAGAAAACTTTCTCAGACAGAGGAACCATACTATAATATTACGCCAGAAACCTCAGCCCTTTCAAAAGAAGGATTTTCACCTAAAACTGGGCTTCAGAACCTTCTTTACAGGGCAGTGAAGTATAGGTGTGCTTCAGTTCTTGAGCAATGGCACTCACATGCCTCACAGGTATTCTGGAGAATGGATATTAACGGGATCCTATGATGCCCAGAGATTACAGATTACAGAGATACCATAAACAGTGGTGCAACTGTTGTTTTCTGAGAAGCAGCTATGTGACAACTTATTCTAGAAAATAACATTAGGCTTGGGGTTGCTAAGAGGCAGCAGTAGTTACCATACAGGCACAATTAATTCTGCTGACAGTAAATCTGGGCAACGCACACTTGCTGAAGCAGGTCAGTCACCTGTCCATGGGACTAATTAATGAGGCAGAGGAAAGAGCCAGGCTGTTCCCAGACGGGAACTGTACGTTGTCTGTAACTGCTGTATATTGTCATAACCACTTTACACTGCCATAAACCAACTGTGTGAACAGTGCTGACCTGGAAATGAGAAATCAGTGTCCCAGAAGATTGACATTTATTTTCATTCCATAATGGGACTAAGACATGCTCTTGTGAAACATACGAAGAGACTGTTTCAAACCAGCCACTAAACTGGGCTGCAGCCCAGGCACCCCACAGCAAGGGAGAAACATGTTGCTTCTCATATTAGTTAGAAAATCAGTCCTGGTACATCGCATCAATACTTTTGCACAAAAGATTTTCAATCAGTTTTTCAATTTTCTAGAAAAAGTAAAAAAAAGTATCTGGCAAAAAATCAAACAAACAAAATCCCCCCCCCAAAAAAACCAAAAACAAAAAAAACCAAACAAAAAAAACCCAAACAAAAACAAACAAAAACCAAAAAACCAAAACAAACAACAACAAAAAGAAACAAATAGAACTTTGGGAGTATGGACATTTCACTTCACACTGGAATCTGAAACCCCATATAGAAGAACAACTAACGGTGGATTTCACACGTGCATTTTTACTGTAGAATTTTAAATACTTCATGTAGGACAGTTTGAACTGAAAAATCTTAATCACTAAACATAGGAAAAAATTCACTGTGCATACCAAGAGAAAATATTTCCCACAGCAGAATGCCATAAGACCAGACATCACTTAATGTTGTGTATAGGTTGTCAAAAATGCTTTCAGGTGCCATCCATTTTACTGGGAGGAAAGTCTATAACAGAAAGAAAGAAACCCCAAACCACACAGATTAGTCATTAAAGAAATGCTTACCATTCCAACTGTTATTTGATAGCCAGGAATAACCTCTCTCTATAAGAAAAGTTGTGTTAACCTGACTAGTGTTTATTTTTCATGTCATTTAACACAGAGGTACCAGGATTATAAGCAATGTTACTAGTTGCTCCCCACAAAAACTAATTAAGACATAACTGTATTCATTTTATCACTAGCAAATGACCAGGCTGATTAAAGGAATGATACAAAATCCAGCACTGCTGAACTAGATCTGATATGTCATTGTTTGATATGTCACTACTCTTTCCATATCATACTGTCAGTTCCTTAATAATTTATGCAGTCACAAAACTTGCCAGTTTAAAAAAGTACTGTGAAGTACTGAATGCGGCCAAGTACTTTTTGGCTTTAAAACAGAGTTAGAAAATTTACAGGAATTAATGAACTGAAGAAAAATTGTTCTGAGGAGCATTCATCCCAATGGTCAATTAGTGTAAGCAACACTGAATGGCAAGAACATGAAACAGCATTTAAAACTGACACTTTTCATTTCAGTTAAAGCAGAGCTTTACTGATTAAGTACATACGCTGCCCTTGGAGACATAATTGGAATCATGCATGATGTCTCTAGCCAGCCCAAAGTCACAGATCTTCACAATTTTTCCTTGAGCCAGGAGGACATTACGAGCTGCCAAGTCACGGTGCACACACTGTATGGGGAGAAATAAAGTTGTTCAAGGACATGCTAATTCCATGAGGACCATTTCCCTTACAAAGATCCCTGAGAAGGGGTTGATCTGAACAAGTGCCTGTATTCCTTGAGAATAGGGACAGGGAGGCACTGGCCCACAGAACTGGTGAGGTCTTATGCAGATAGATTGTAGTGGGGAGGAGACCAAAGTGATGCCATCCTTTCCCATTCTACCCATCCTGTACTAATGACATGTCTATGCTTCTGACCATGCTGGTCTGTGGCTGTACAGACCCTCCACCCAGACCCTGCCTTGATTCTCCACCATCTCTGACACTGACTCCACTAATGTCACAGGCTGCAGCAGGAGAAGAGGACTGATTGCTGCTTTGATTTTTCCCACCGTGGTGATCTCTGTTTCCAGGTAAATGAGAAATCTGTCTACACTTCCAAAAAGAATATTATATTGTGTCAAGTCTTCAAAATATAAATTGAAACCCATAGTTAGAGAAAAAGACATTTTTACACTTTCTTCCATTTTACTTACTTTTTTACTTACTTACATTTTTAGAAGCCAAGAATTCCATTCCTCGTGCAACTTGGTAGGTGAAGCTCAGCAAATCCAGTAGGCTGAGTCCCTCTGAGCCATCATCCGAAAGAAGGTTTTTGACTTCTGATTCTATTGAAAAGAAGAGAAAAACGTGTTTGTGCTGTGGAGTGTGAAAGTATCATCCATCTTCCCCTACCTATCATGATTCTGAGCTGATGATTTTAGCAGAGTACCATGACCAAAACAGTCTTTTCGTAATAACTAACCAGTTTTAATGTCTTCATCAGTCACTAGCACATGCTGCATTCTCAAAAACATGGAGCATTAAATAAAGGGTTTGAGTTTTCTCCCGTCTGTAATTTTTTCCCCTGGGAAAAAGTGAAGTTAAAAAGGCTCACTGTAATGTTACACAGGTTGTTTACTCGGTGTGTAGTACAAAACATTCATTTAGAGGTCTTGCCTTCATTAGTTTTTTGTGCATGCATGTACATTATTATCCATTTACTTTTGCTGAACACTGTTATGTTTCCCAGCAAGTATTCACTGGGACTAATCCAATACCAACAAAAAGGTTCAGGAATTCTATGGCAACAGTTCTTATTTCTTTTATGAAAGATATCAGCAAAAAAACAGTCAAAATTCAGTGATTCATTTACCCTGACTGTCCTAGAGAACAACATGGGTACATTAGTCTGCCGTGTAAATCTGGGACTGGATATGATTCAGTTTCCGAGGCCTAGAGGCAGAAGTGACGGTGCCAATTTTTAAAGCAAAGCATATTTGGTTTCTTAGAACAGGGGTGGGGAATGAGATGTATTCATTATATTCATTATATAATCCAGGAAAGTGTTTAGGAGTGTTCTGTGTTTGTTTAAGTGTCAGTTAATATGAAATGTAAGTGGAAACAGAGCAATATAAATTACTATTATTATTGACCATTGCTATTGCTTAAAATCTTGCAAACTACAAGAGTGACAAAATCACTGCCTCCAGAGATGCCTACAGCCCTGTTGCAGAGCATTCAGAACAGAAGCAAATACACAACTGGACCCCTTCTGCTCCAGCAACATGCACTCCTATCCCCAGAGCATAACGAAAGAATAAAAGCACAAGCTTTTAGCTTATACCTCATGCTCACACACTTGCTGAACAGAGCTGAGCAGTTTACATCTATTTAGAAGGCCAAAATAAGATATGTGTTTATGCAATATGCATTTGTATTAATGATATATGCAGAAGAGACAGTTCTACATTACCTGACATGGATTTTTTCTTATATGAAGCAGGTCTATCATACACAGATCTCTGAATATCAGAGTATTTAGATCCCTCCTTTCTTTCCAGCATAGGCACATACTGAGTGGTATCAGCTTGTTTCATGTCCATGTATTCTCCAGTGTTTTCAAATGATAATATCACATAACTGAAATTGGACAAAAATATAGGTGTATCAGCTAGTACTTCCCAGGTGACTTCCCTGCCACAGCATCCTGCATATCTAATAGTTCTTTTATGGTGTACAATTGTATTGCTGTAAGATATAAGAACTGGCTTCTTGATAGGGAATAGATAAAGATCATGTATTATAACATAACCATGTATCATGTATGTAATACAACCATCACTTATTAGTACATGTTACTGTGCATCACTGTAGTTAAACACAAGCTTTTTTCAATAGTCAGGTATGTAAACATGTATTGCCTTAATTCCCAAAATCCCACTGAGCTCAAGTATCACTACCTATGGCTTTTAGTTCAAGGTATTCCAAATTATAAATGTCATTTATCCACCCAGACAGTTTGCGTCAAATCCAGTCTTGCTGAACAAACCCATGTCCAGATGCATAGTCCTGTTTGTACACAGCTACCAAGTCAGTTGATCTATTTGTCTGAGTGATTTTTGGAATGAATATCTCTCCACCTTCTAAATCCTGGCTAATTTTATGGCACTGCATTGTTGCTGAACGAATGATGACAAGCTTCCTCCACCGTCATCTGGAAAAAGCTGTGGGGTGTACAGTGACAGTAAGGAAGCTATTGAGACTGGCTAAGCCGTTGGTAGATAAAGGAGAGTACTTGAGCTTGGAGAACAAGCTCTGCCAGGCTGGTAGAAGGGAAGGAGTTTTAGACAGTGGAAATTCCCCACGAAGGGAAACAAGGAAACAGGTAGATGCACTTTACTTTTAAACTTGGGTGGATAGAGACAGGTTTTTTTACAGAGAGGAAAAAAATGAACACTGGGCTGTGATTTATTAATGAAAGTCTTATTTGGGATGTCAGAATGTTTATGGAGAACCCACGGTGGTCCTTGGACTGCAGGCATCTCTACATGCTGGAAACATGAAACTAGGACACATGTCAGAGAGATTGAACAAAAAGTGTTAAAACCTTTCCAGACCTAAGAAACTTGATAAATAAAAGTCTAACGAGAAAAAATAGGGAGAACTTTAAACCACTGGATGAGAGAAATGGAGTGTTAGTAATGACATTTCCTTAAGTCACAAGTCGCCTTTTTTTTTCCTTTTTTTCACACCTTCTTGTGCTTTCATCAGCTGGGTTCATCCCAAAGATATCCAGATCTTTCTTTGGCTTCTCTGGGTGTCGGTTCAGGAAATTGTCCCTGTTCTTATGCAGGTAGTTCACCAAATCACCATAAAAGCAGTATTCAGTAATTATGTAAATAGGACCTGTTAAAATAAAGCATAATTATGCATTGATGAGTGGGGTCTTTGAAAAACAAACCCAGAAGACTCTACAGAAACAAACAAAGAAGGCTCCAAAAATAGTAGAAAATAGACTATAAAACATAAAAATTATTGTGAGTTAATAAATTTTATCTACTAAGTTATGACTGCAACTATTACCAAATAACAATCAGGTTTGTGAAACCTATATTTGTTTATATTTATTGTTAAATCCTTTACGTGAAATCTGTATGCTTGTTAAACAGTGAATGATGACCCTACAGCAAACCTTTGTCAGCCAAACTTACCTGATTTTGTAAAACCCTTTATTTTGTCAGCCAAACCCACCTGATTTTGTACAAGCTCCAAGCAGATTCACAATATTCAGGTGGGGGCCAAGATGTGTCATTATCTTCAGTTCAGACATGAGTGCCTGTTTTTCACTGGATCTAGCTGTAGCTGTTGAAAAAACACAGAAATTGCCTTTTTCAAATAACAAATGATTTCTCCTTGCTTGCCTCATTGGAGCACTGCTAGCATGGTTTCTTGGAGAAGACTATATCCTTTACTTGATATGTGTCTTTCTTAAGATTTGGAGAGGAGTCACAAATAATCAACAAAGGACTCACTTGATGCACCTTCAATAGCTGACCCAGCCTATTTTTCCCTCTCCAGTGGTACAGTGGCACAGAGGCAGTCCACAAGCTGCTCATTTCAACACAAACAAGCTTCCCATGATTCCTCCAGAATCACTGCATCAGATTCTCAGCTTTCATGAACTAGAAAATCTTCAGTGAACTTAAGATTCTTACACAAGGCTTGCCTGCTTCTCCTTTGTTGTGTAGCTCTCATTTGTTCACAAACATTCATGGTTATTTTATCTTTTTCAATATTTGCTGAGTTATTGTGGCTGCTCAGCTAAACCCAAACTTTGGATGTTTTCAGAAGCCTCTGTACTTTCTGTCTTGAAATGTCATAAAGCAGCCTAAAGTATAATTTTAAATTTCAGTCATTCCACCACTCATTTTCTACTTCATATAAGAAGAATTAATTTATACACAAGGAAGGTTTGAATAGCCCTGTGGAATGTGCCCTACCTTGCCCATCCCCTAGCTTGGGAAATGGAACTCCAACAACTTACGTTTCAGCATTTTCACAGCTACTTTCATCACTGGTTGCGAACGACTCAATCCATATGCAGTCCCTTCAACTACTTTTCCAAATGCACCAGAACCAAGGATTCGACCTGAATACAAGGGAGAGCACTATTTATTTCAGAAATGAACAGCAATTCAGCTCGTTTCCTTCTGTCATTCCTCTATGAGTTGATTCTTGTGTGGAAAGAACAGATTCCCACAGCCAGATCACTCGTATTATTGTTATTGATGTTGTTGTTAAGCAGGAAAAGCAGATCTAAAATGCTGTCATTAAGTACAATTCTTAAGAACAAGAAAGCAAATATCAGTAGCACACCTGCACCTGAAAGCTCAACTCATTCAAATTCATCTGTTCCTGTGCCCTGTCGTCTTCACTTTATCCTCTCTAATTGTCCCAGACTTAAGTTGACCTCTTTGCCTCAGTCAGGACCTGAATACAATACAGTCATGTTCCTGACTTAAAAATCTGAATTGGATCCCTCAGCTGTAGTTTTGGTCTATTATATAATGCTGGATGGATCTAAGCAGTAAGACAGACTAAAGCACATCAACAGCACATTCAGAAACAGACAGGCAGGGCCATTTCAGATCTGCAAGAAGCTGAAATGCATGTTGAACACGTATGAGGGGAAACTTCCCTGAAATTTAATGTACAACTGTGTTTCATCTGCTGGAATAAATTGTATTGCAAATTTCCAAGTGTTGTAAGGAAACAGCTAATGTTTATACACGCTTTTCTCATAAATCAATTTAGACAAAAATTTTAGATTATCATATCCTGTCTTCTAATACAGATACAGCCTGCAGAAGAATTGTGTACAGGTTGATTGAGATTTTAGAGAAATATGAATAAACATACTGTAAAACACTATATTTCATAGCTTCTACATTGAAGACCAAGTTTGTCAAGGCAACACTTACTCAGTGAACAAACCTGTATATGAGGTACAGATGCCAGGATATTATCGTATGCCTGACAAACTCTCTTTTTAATTTTATGTTACTTTTTAACTTTCAGCACAGAAAGAATAAGTAGTGACTTTTACTTCAGAGATATACAGCATTTTGTCTTTGATATTCATTTGTGGTTTGAAGTTGTCATCTTCTACACTTCTGAAAAGCGTTATCTGGCACGCAATGCCATGTTTCTGTTATCCTCTAGCTACAGCCCCCACTTTTATTGTATACACATTTTTAAAAGAGAATTTCCAGCCAAAAGATATTAGCATCATTAACAAGCATAAAAAATGGTTTAAGAATGCTTAGCTGAGTTAACACAGACAAACCTCTCCAAGATTATGACAGTGTAGTTTGTCATGCCCACAGAAACTATGTGATTTCAAGATTCCTGTGCTCCAAAGGTTATCCTTCCAAATCAGGATGTGAGAAAGCTTCCCACTACATTTCAGACTAATTCAAAACACCTGAGTCTGAAATCTGGCCCCTGAAACTTTTCAGACTGAAGGTCTGGGAGCCATATGGCAGGATGCAGCCCTTCAGAATGTGATGGTATTTGTTGATGCTCCTTGATCTTCTTGTCTTCACAAGCCAATTCCTCCCCAAACCATATTGTTAGTTGAGCACAAGGCACATATCTCCCTCTTCATCACCTCTTCTGGGCCGGAGTGCACGTGGAGACAGTGAGAGCACTTCCTAAGTGGTAGGGAGTCATCACTGCTATTTCCCCTTTTCAACCCTCTCTGCAGATGTAGCCCAAGCCCCGTATCTTTTACATTGGAAATTTGGAACGTGGTGGGAGCTCAAGAACTGGAAGCATCTGTAATGCCATCACATTCTTGATGACTGCTTCAGTGAAGCCCAAAATTATAGCATATGTTTACTTTTCTCAGTATACAGGCACAGCTGTGATCTGCTTTGCCACCACAGAGGGACTGTGCAGACACAGCAGCAGCTCAAGACCCTTCAAACTAGTGGAGGAACAGCAGCTATTTCAGCCTCTCTACCAATTCATAGAGCTAATCTGCTGTCACTGCCAAAAGAAGTGCTGCTTTTCTGCTCAGAGGACACAAATTCAAAGGTGAAGTCTGTGAATTTGTTCCAGATCCAGCCATCTCAACTGGATGCCTCTGGCTAAAATTGAACTGGGATGATCAGCCCACCTCAAATTAAATTGTTAAGTCTCTTGGCCTATATCAAAAGCCAAACAAGTGCCAAGCTTTACAATCTAAGTCAGTTTCTAGACTCATGAGGAATTAGGTATGACATCTCTAAGTGTCGTGTGACTTGAATCTTAACTTGCCTTTTGCAAATGGGCATAGGTCTGATTCTGTGTCAGACCAGCATTTCATTTTAACAAAGTCAACAGGAAAAATGAGTGGCTTGCTGGGAAGTGATGAGAGCAATTCTGCCATCTCTCTACAGCCACCCCAGGTTCCTGAGCAACAGAGCTAGGACTCTCAAAAGGCCCTGCTCTCTGCTGTATCAGCCAGAGGAGGAGGTACAGGTCCTGCTGGAACCTCGACATTTCTCAGCAGATCCAGGAGAAGGCAGTGGTGTTCAAGCAGCTCATGGCATTACTGCATTGTTCTTTCTGTTATGCATCTCCTAGGCTTGCACTGGCTGCTGAATGCTTCAGACAGCAGTGCACTACATACACTGTGGAGCAGTGATTGCAAAGGGAAATTTGCAGTGTAACCCAAATTCATCAATTGAAGCTTCATCCAGTCAACATTCAAAGTTGGCGTTTAACACAGCACTGCACTCCAGGCACTATTGGCTAGAAAAAACAAATAAATGCCAGCTGGCTTACACAGTTAGGATGGGAAATGCTCATCTGGCTGAGGCAAAATGTGTTTGTAACCCGCTTCAGAGCCTCCCTGAGCTAAAGGTGTAATAGCTTTGCTGTCATCTCCCACTCAGATAAGAGAAAACCCGCACAAAACAAGATTATCAGCCACAGAAACAAAAGAGGGTCCCCCCCATCAGCAAGCATTTAATATGGTAAAACTGTCAGCAGGTATAAATGTGAACTGTGTCAAGAAGAAAGCTTGTGCAGTCCAGATTACTAAAAGGATATGTAGTATTGGTTTTTAGAGCACTGACTATCCTGAATATACTTGTAAACAAGAAGGCATTGAAGCAGGCTGGTGCTCATGAGTCAGAGGGAAACAAAGTCACAGTGGTGGTCTTTACCAACTCAAATCTGACAAATCCTATTTAGGCATATAATTAAAGTCTGGGTTGTAATAAAATAATTCCATTAAATATCCATCCTCCCCTAGTCTTCAATTAGCAACACGAATTTAATTAAAGGATATTGTTCCTGAACCAGAAATTTTTGTGCTGCTTCTTTCAAGAATTAACATCAACTGTTTCTCTGTAACGGGGAAGAAGAACTGCACCAGGGGAGCACATTTCTTAAAATATATCAAACAAAAAACATATTTCATCTTCTTCTCCTCTATTTTGTGATGCAACTTGGTGCAGAGATACCTCCAAGGGAGGGAAGCCTTGTATGTTTAAAGCACTATCTGTATGGAACATTGAAATTTTCTATAATCATTACATTTTCAATTGATAAAAAAGACACATTGGGCCAGCCTCGAAGAAGTAATTATGACTGAATTCTGCATGAATTCCAATGAGGAATAACAAAGCAAGAAAGAAGAAGGAGAAGGAAGAAGGACAGTAGGCACAAAAATATGCAGTTATTGATATATGCTTGGCATGGATTAATAATTTAAAAAATATTTTTAATAAAACTACTTAACTACTTGCAGATTTCCCTTGGCCTCTGTACATAAGCATATAAATGTGTTGCAAACAGAAAATACTGATTTTTTCTTCTGGATGTATTAGCATGAGTGTTGAAGAGGGCAATTAATGCTGAGAGCATCCCCCTAAACTGCATGGAGGTGGGCACTACACATTGAGGGAGAGATGGAATGGAGGCACAGGAAACACTAACACAAGAACTTCAGGGCTGATGCCACTGTAGGAGAAGAAGAGGATGAGGAAGGAGAACTGAGGAGAACAGACAGGCACAGAGACACTCTGGACTTTGTGACCGTAACTTCCACTGTAAATCCCAGTAACACAGACCTCAGAGTTGTCCTTAATTGTCTTTATCCCTAGAGAATAATGAGGTTAGTCCCTTAGACAAAACTTACCAAGCACTAACCCATCTCGAGGAAACTCCCATCTGGAGTCATAGGGCAGTTGCATTGGGTCCACATAAATGTATTCGTGGCCATCAGGGCTGATAGATTCAATGACTCTCCATCTAATCTCGTACCTTGGCTTCTGCAGAGCACATTGAATGCAGACCCAACAATTAGTCCTGTGCTTGACTTCAGACAAGATCAAAACCCAGCAGGGCTCAGCATCCAAACTGAAATGCTTTTCTACATTACCTGTTTCCATATGATGACTAGGACAATCAGTGAAATTATCACAATCACTAACAGCACTAGGACTGCAGCAGCCACCGTTAGCTCTGATCGTAAGGCTGTGGAGTAAAAAGACAGACAGTATTTTCCTCCTGAGCCATGAGGAACATGACACACACATAAGACATCCACCTCGCCTGTCATTGTAGTTCCTATGTCCTGCGGAAGTGGTAGGAGCAGTTCCTGAGGCTGGTGACTGTAAAGTCTTTCCAAGCCCAGAGCTGCTCTGCCTTCCTGTTTCAAAATCAAATACAGATTGTCTAGAAGAATGTCCCGATAGCCAGTGGCAGTAAAATGGTAAAATGAATCATGGAACCACATAATAAACAAAAAACAGATGCACCATAAAGACCTGTAAAATGCCTCATCCTCAGATGTCTCAGGGTGGAAGAAAAAATCCATTTTAATTAATTATCTACAACAATTCATACTTTTATCTATTAAGATTGAACTGGGGTGTGTTAGAGTGGGGTTAAACTGACTGCTATAATTTCACAGAAGGAAAAAGCAAACTCACTAGGAGCCACAAGCTTCAGTTCTCGAGTAACGGCACCAAGGTCATTCCTTGCCACACATCGCACAGCCAGGGTTTCCTCTACCTTCTGGAAGGTCACCTGGCTTTCCACCACATTTTTCTCATCCAGGTGGGCTTCCATGTGTATATCAGAGATATTGTTAGTCAAAAGGGTCCATGAGGTGTCATTGCTGCACCTGCAGAGAAGAATAATGGGGGAAATGAGCACTGGCTGTAGGCACGGATAAATAAGAGTGAACAGAACAAGAACTACCTTTCCCTGCAAATTTCTGCTAACAGCAATCCTTTTAAAAGACAGAAATTGTTAAGACTGCCTCTATAGAAAGCCTGCACCTTTGTTCCCTCATAATAGTTATCCTTCTGATTCTCATTACTGCTTCTGACTGGAGGGCCCAACAATGCAGCCCAGCAGGTTTGGTAGAGATTGACCTTGGTGTCACTGTGTATCCCATGGAGTTATGGTACTGGATGGATCCCTATTTTTCCCAGAATCCTTAGTGCTGTACAAGGCTCCTGGGGACGGGGCTAGGAAGACAACCACCCCATCAGGCACTAAGAGGTTTTAGTAAAATGAGAGCAGAACACAGCTCGGAAGTGCCAAGGCCTCCTAGCCTTCTTCCATGCATGGTATCCCCCTCTCTGTTGGATAATACCACAGGGAGAAAGCAGCTTTGCAGTAGACACAGAAAGAGCCAACCTGGAACTGGCAAAAATGGAAGTAATTACTCCATGTTTTTAAAATACTTTGATGATGAAAATTATAATTAGGGGGGAATAATCACAAGTGAAAACTTAGAAGCACACAACAGTGTTAATGAGGCAGACTGAACTATCTGGGAAACTAAAAAAGTTCCCTGTGTGGAGGGACAGCTACTTTTCAAGGTCCTTACTCAAACCAGGACTGTGAAATCCATAAACTTGGCTTATTGAACACAAAGTTTTTGTGAGAGAAACCTGCTGAATTGATGCACTGTTTCTTCTCCTATAAGATGTAATAGGAAGGACACTGGTAACCTCTCTTGAAATATAAGCAACATGCCCCTAAAAAGAAATAAAAATTATCTAAAACTTACTGGCTCTTGATGAGGAAAACGTGGTACTGTAACTAATTACATTAAGTTAATTGAGGATACACATAATATTTTAGGTAAGACAGCACCCACTCCTCTTACTTTTTAATGTCCTTGCAAACCAGCCATTCCACATCAGGAAGTGGGGTCCCCTCTGCCAAGCATCTCACTGTCTGCCCACCTGTAGTGCCATGGTGATCATCCACAAGGGCTGAGATCAGAGCTGGAACTGGGAAGGAGTCAGGAGTTTGTTAAAATATTTGTCAGCATTTATGAAAAAAAACAACTTGAAATTCAAAGCAGGACAGGTGTTGTTTGGCCAACAACTTAGCAATAGCTAGAGACCCAGACTCATCCAGGAAGTGCTTATCTCCCATAGGACAGCTTGGATCTTAGACTAGAGCCATGAAAAAGAAGTCCTGTGGTTTTGCCACGTCCTCATGTCATACTGAATGAGCTATCGCCCTGCTGTCAGCTGGAATAACTTAGCTGAGAGAATAAAGTTTCTTTTTGGCTCAAGGCCAGTGCAGAAGTGAAAGCCAGGATCAGGGTAAAAGAGCTCAAGGGACTCAGCACACACACACTCCTCCGCAGACCCTGGTTCATGCCTTTTTTATATCTATACTCCAGGCAATCCAGTGTGTAAGTGCATCAAGTCTTTGCTGTGTGGCATCAGTTATGGTGGGAAAGGCTGTGGGGCTCCTTACCTTGTATTAGCAAGGAGAAGGTGTATCTTTTAATCTCGTCTTCATTTTCAGCAACCAAAGTATAGTATCCACTATCTTCTTCCTTGGCCCTTATCAATTTTAATACACTCTGAAACCTGCAGAAATACAAGTTTTTTTGTACTTTTAAAGCAGGCATGAAAAATCACTTTGGTGAAACATATAATCTGGGTATGTTGAGATTGTAACATAGTGGCATTTAGCATTTCTAGCATACCTTTAAATGAAGTCATTACTCAAGTGGTAAATAACTACCAACATAAAACTGAGAAAGAAGTGGGATTAGTTATTTTCTGCAGGGACCTGACAAAGCTCTGATTTTACTGGAAACAGCTAGAGATTATTGGTATGCAGGCATGTTGAAGGGAATTAATAGGTTTAGTGCTCAGAGACCTTGAAGAGGTTGGTATTATGAAGAGAATAAGAAGAGGCAGATTACGCATTGCCCTTTAGAGTAGAAAACAAATAAATTATTTTTAAATGCCACTAAAGAAGAAGCAACAAACTGAGGTGGAAAGAGAGCAGGAGCAGTGCCAGGTTTTTGGGGAGAAACTCAAGTCAGCATGATAAAGTAAGTGTCTGAAGGTTTTTACCTTGTTTCCTGGACTCTGTTAGAACTAGTAACAATCTCAGTAAGATTTTCAATCAGAGTCACATTATCCTTCAACCAGTACATTTTTGGTGCTGGGTAAGCCTGCACATCAACAACAAAGTTTTTGACTTCGTGCAGGTTGACAGCTTCCAGAGGGCTAAACTGAGGCTCCAGGTGAACAAAGCCTTTGTCTGTAAAGGAAAAAGCCTTGCGTAAACAACACTGTGCAACATTTTTCAAGAATGGTGTTTTCCAATGCATTAGTAATTTGGGACACTAAAATCAAACTATACCATGAACTGTAATGACTACTTTCTTATTTTCCTTAACCTCCTTGGTTGCATGCCGAGCAGTACATTCATAATCCCCTGTGTCTTTCACTGATGCCTCAGGAATGGTCAGGGTGTAAACCAGCTTCTGCGATGGGACTTTGATATCATCAAGTTTTATCAGACCTTTTTCTTTCTGTAGTTTGGAGAAAGAAAAAAAAAACTTGCTTAAGTAATTGAGCTGAAAACACATCATAATCTAACCAGATGCTAGATTCTGCCTCCTCTCAAAACAAGAATAATTTATTGAAAAGAAGAAGACTCCTGTGAGTAAAAGGATGGTGAGAATGGCAGACTGTGTTATCATGAGAGGCTGGAACAAAAAATATTCCTGGGCTAGTTTTGAAAGGTGGCATATACCAGGGACTATGACGTGTAAGATGGAAAATGGAACAAAACTTTCTCAAATAATTTTTCCTCTTGGACTCATAACTTACTTAAATAAAACATGGGATTTGTGTTTCACAACCAGGTACACTTCAATTACTCCATTTCTTCAGTGACCAGACTTTTTACATGGGATACTCTGAAATTGCCTGGGACGGGCTCTAACCAAGTTTCACTGAATAAAATTTTTCACTGCAAAAATATGTCACACCAGTTTGAAAATTTTCAAGGTTCTCCAAAAGTTTTAAGATTTTCTTACTAGATGTTTCTCATTAGTTAATAATTACAGTGACTCTAAGAGTCGTTTCAGTTTATACCTGCATAATGAAGAACACTTAAGAATATATGATTCTTCATTGTCCTTTATTATGCCTGAGAACCAGAGTTTAAGAGAACCATTTTAGAGGTTCAGATCTTCAGCAGCAGAGCTCCACTGAGATGTCCAACACACCTAGGTCTTTCCAATTTCACATTTCTTTTTTTGAAGCAGCACAAGACCTGAAAGACAGATCCTCAGAGGACGGACTGCTAGCCATACCTCACTTTCCTCTCATGCTTTGCATACTTACTAACAGCAAACTCTAACTTTTGGGATTGACTTTCCTTTATGATAACTTAAAATTTGAAGAACTTACTTTGTTTTCCCTCCTCAGCTGTCCTCATTCAGATAAGAGAAGACTATATTACAACCCCACCCTCTTTCCCAGTAAGTAACTAGAAATATTGAGGGAAAAAGAAAAAGAAAGAGAGATTTACCACTTTCCCGGGATAATTCCACTGTAAATTAACCACCTCATTGTCAAAGACCACACAAGTTACTACGATGGTCTCGCCTGTTTTGTAGACAGTTTTAAGAGCTTCAATTTCAACTGGAAGCTGTGAAGTAGCTAAGAGAAGAGAGAGAGAGACCTCATTTAGTTTTAAAAAGAATGCTCTTTTCACATGGTACAATTTCAGAGGGAGATTTCCATTTCACTTCTTCTACTGAGGAATTATCTGAAAAATTCAGTAAAATTACTGCTGATCTATACTGATTTAAACAATTAATATTTAAAGGATGAAGTGTACAGGCATTAAGTTCAATCCCACAAAGAAATTATCCACTCATACAGTTTCAATTAGAAGTTCCTATCTCAAATGCCCCTGTGAAAAGGCATTCAGTATAAAAGAAATCTCCCATTTTGCTGATCAGTGCCTGTCTTTGAGAGTCCCTTGCTGGCCAGGAAAAACGTTTTCAAAGTAATTGAATCATGATGTTTTTCAGGCCACACAAGGTTCTAAAAATCAAAGCCACAGAGAAATACCACCCTTTTAAGTTATGTTTCAGCAAATAAGATGAAAATACATGGACTACAGAAGTCTTTTCTTGCAACCATTTAGGAGAGAGAGGAGATGGGAGAGGAGATAAAGTTGGGGACACTTTATTCTTATCAAAATTAAAATTAATTGTAAGCAAACTCACAACTAAGTAACTGGCAATACTGACAGAGGAGCAAGGAGCTCATCATTGGGGAAACGTGATATAACTGTGTGTTGCTGGTGCTAATATGGCTCTTACAGTGTGAAGAAAGAACACAACTATTTTTTTTATTTTAAATGAACAGAAATAGATACCTCTTATAATATAGACGAGAAACTCATCAGACTTGAACTCCACGCCTTTAGCCACTGTTTTGCATGTGTATGAGCCCGCAGGAAAATTCCCTATGAAGCCTTGTTTGGTGTCATATAAAGCATACACAGCCTTGTCTAAGCTGTCAGTTAAAGTCACTTGAGCATCTGGGTCACTTGTCCGACAAGGGATAACTGTGGGATCACCTTCTTCTACTAGGATGAACTGGTCTTCTGGTATAGAAGGAACAAAAGGCATGTCTGGGTCTGTAAAAAACAAGATGTAGTATTACACTGTCTTGTTTGTAGCAAGCCCACATACAAGAATTGGATGTCAGTGGCCACTTATAGGTCATAACTTAAATTTGTAAAGTTCATTATCCCGGTTTTTCAGAGATTGCAGGTAAGGTTTACTAACTGAATGCAGTATCTCGTTTTAGCTATTTGATGTGACATGTAGTGAGAGATTTCTTCTAAGCACAAAACAAGAAAGGACTTGGGCTTCTTTGTAACAATTCAGGATGCAGGATGAAAAAGGCAAAAGATTCTCCCCCCAAAATGCTAAGTGTTATTAATCACAACTCACTCATTTTAAGTTAATTTTTTTTTCTATGGTATTGCTAGCTGTCTCCTAACCAATATATAAGCAGTGAAAAAAAAATAAAAGTAAAATGAAAATCCAACCACTTTCCAAGTCAAATAAAGTAGAAGTCAGTTTCATGTTGTTTATGTTGAACGCCACTAAAGCCACATTTCATCAAAAATAGTTCAAGGTACTTATCTTCATGTATTTCTAACATGTCCAACATTACAGTTATGAGACATAGTTAATTATGGTCACAGCATGTGGTTTTTAAAATATGGTATTCAACTAGGAAAAAAGCAAACAAACACCTGGTAGTTTTATTTCTTTTAAAGTCAACAAAAAGCATGCCAACTTTCCTACCCAGCCAATCCAAAGTCTGAGTTTAAAACATAATTGCATAACATTATGCATAAAAAGCATGGCCCTCCATTTGGCCATTCAGAATAAACAAATAATCCCTGCTAGCCTGAAGCTTCTGTGCAAAGCTTTATAATAAAATTTAATAAATAGCAATCCAAATCCCTCCAACAATAGACTTTCTGCTGCACTGGCAGGCTCTTTGTAGCAATATTCCAAACACAGCGCTCCATTCCAAAGACACTGCCAACTCCATGTATTCATTTTCTCACTGTAATTTAAAACAGAAACAGGATTCACCTAGTTTGGTTCTCTGTGTGTTGTTAGTGAAAATAGGATATTGTGTGAAGTCTCAACGTAATCCTCCCTGGCTAAAGTGGGTTGCTACCACCCATTGCCCTCCTAATTCATTGCAGAAAAAACAATTGTAAAGACAAAGTTTAGAGTGGAAACAGAGACATCCTCTATAATTTGGAGAAAAGGATATGTTTTTGCATTTATGACATCTTGATGGTTAGAGAGTGGAAAAAATTACAGGGTGTCTCTGCCTGGCAATTCTGGTAGGCTGATGTCTAGAGGCTTTTGAAAACCAAACTAAAAAGCCCTCTTGAAGAAATCTTCAATCTCTTGCCTTTATATTCCTTTACTGTGTGAGTTACAAGACTACTTAACATAAAAAAACCTCTTCTGGTGATTTGGTTAGAGGTGTTTGGAAATCAAGATACACGTGCTAAAGCTGGCAGCCTCTGCTGAAACATCTTGTTTCAAGAACAAATGCGAAGATTTTACATTTGTTGTGAGAAATGGAGAAAAAGTCTTGGAAGAATCATTGTCCTTGAATCACACATCATGAACTGAAAAAACTTAATGCCACTGCAAAACAGCCTTTAAAACAGGTCCTGTTACTGCTTCCTGACTTTTTCCCCTTCCAGAGTCTCCTTTGCCATTATAGACATCATCTTCTTCAGAAAACACTGCAGTTTTGCAGGATGATTTGCAATCTCTTCTTCTCTCTTTTGTTTCCTATTATGAATATTTGCTGCAAATCAAGTGGCTTGATCTTTTCTGGCCCTACAGTATTGCCCCTCTCCCCCTGAACCCCGGACAATGCCGAGGAAACATCCAGAAAGGCCATCAGTCATGCTTCAGCCTCTGGTGCCTATCTGAGCTATGACAATAACGATTTTCGTCCGGTGGAGAGTGTGGAAAACATTTAAGCAGATTTCCAGTCTGAACAAGGGGGTGAAAAGGCAATGCTGGGAGTAGGCACTCCCAAAAAGAGGGGATGCCATTTCTTCTGAATGCAACAGGTTTTCCATCACTAAAGAGAAATGTAGCACAGGGCCTGGGAAGGCTGTGTTTGCTTTGAAAATTACAGGGCACTGCATGATAGCACCATGCTTTTAATCTTGCATCAGACCAGCCAGCAAGCACACTTCTTTCCCGCCCTTCTGACAGTCACCCCCGAGACATCTCCATTGCTTTACTCTTCCCAGGCCCTGTGGACACCTGAGCTTTTTCTAGATCTCAGCTCAAGCCTAATTCAGGTTAAGAACAAGATATGGCCTTCCTCATCTGGCAACTGCTTTAGTATCATACATGGCACTGATTCAGTCACTACACATCCCAAAATATCCATCCAAGTCCTCCCTGAAAGGACTGGTATTTATGCTAATCCCCACCTGGGAGCCAGGCAAACCTGAAGGCTGGACATACTCATACAGCTGGGCTGACCCGGTCACCAAGGTCTACTGTTCAGCCCCTGGTGGTCAGAAGACCTCAGGTCTGAACTTGTGAGTTCATCATTGTTCTTGAGAACTAAAACTCTCACCAAAAAAGCGAAAACCCAGAGGAACAAAAACACAGAGGAACATATCCATAGATTCACAGGGACTGGTCTTGATTTGTATGTTAGGCAGTGGCCTTGGGGTCAATTTCTCTTCCTCTGAGATGAAAATTGCCACCAGCAATACACCTCTTCTGAACATCCACAGTTCACCTCTCCCATCCAAACCTCCAAGTACAGCCCTGGCACCCTGCACTTACCAGGCACATAGATGTAGATGTCCTTCCCATCCACTTCCCCATCCTCCACTTGTGTGTGGTTATAATAGCAAACATACAAGCCTGTATGAGCAGCTGAGGCATTTACTACTTCAAGCACTGTCACGAAGAAGCCACTGTTGTTTTCTTCATGTCTAATGTCTATCCTGTGACTTCCCTCGGTCACTGGGTACTGCCAGCTCACTTCACTGTCCCCAGAGCATTTGAGTGTGAAATTGGAATTCAGCTGTACCACCATTTCATTCCTATTGGGAACAATAGTCGGCAGAGGAAGCTGGCAAAATGTTAAGAATGGTCCTGCAAAAAGACACAAATAAATATCATATGAACACACAGAACAGCCTCAGCATGGGGACGTGAAAGGAAGCAGACAGGATCCAGAGCAGCTATTTTTCTGACTATTTCAGATCTGCTGATGTCCCAGGAAATTTGCCCTTGTCAAAAGGCAGAGTTTTGCCCAAGGGATGGCAAATGGCTTTCCTTTGAAATGTTAAGTGTTTGCTTGCTGACTTCTGTTTGTCAAATCAAGAGGTGAAAGACAGACAGAGGTTAAGTTAGAGATAGCTCCCAATTCACACATTAGCTTTCCAGCCCCAAAGGTGGGTAGGCTTTATTGCAGACCAGTGAATCCCACACCCTGGCTGTTTGTTACAGGTATCTCACAGCTTCTTACAGACGTGATCAGGAAGCCAGCCTTCGAGTAAGCTCACAGCTGAAAGTTAAACACCACTTCCCAAGACTAACACCCGTACTTTACATCTGATTTCTATTTGTGCAGAGGGCCAGAGCAGGGGCTTAGACTGAAAAGTCGCGCATTGGGTCTACCTCTAGCCAAAATGTACAGTTTTATAGCCAGATAAAACTGCAATCCACTGAACTAGATGTTGTAGATGGCACTGGTTTTCAGATGCAATCTCCAATTACAGGCTCAGGTTTGCAAGTCTAGGTAATTTGTAGGTGGGCTCATAACAGATCCAAATCCAAAAGGAAAATTACAGGATCTACATCCTAAAAGAATGGGGAATTCACCAAGCAAATACATTTGGTGTTTCAGTCTACCAAATGATCTGTACAAAACAGATAGGGTAGTCCATGATAAACAAGCACCTAGGCTCACAGTGTGAAATTGCCACTCAGCAATAAATCAGCATCAGGACTCCAGACTGTCTTTGAAACCATTTTCCACTCCTGCACAAAGTTACCTCAGTCTACAGGCCCTTTCTATATTTGGCAGCCTGTGGCAAAGCCTGCCCTCCCCTCCTATCACCATTCACTCGGCAGATGTTGGGAGCTGGGCAGGCGAGTGCGGTTCAGTGGTGCAGAGTGGGAGGATGCGGGGAGCCCACACAGGCAGCCCCGCCTGCACCATGCTGCTGCAGAAACCCCAGCAGGGCACTTGGGACAGCTGGAGGTAGGCAGGCTCACTTTCCCTGCACAGTCAGGAGAATTGGGTGGGAGGAGGTTACAGCAGCATAGGAGTGCTGAAATGGGCAACCTGGGCCAGCAAAAGTACTGCCTTCTTAGTAGGTCTTGTCTAAGCTTACCTAAGGAAAAGGCAGGAAAACCATGTCTGTAGCCAGCTGGCAACCATTTGGTATTTGTTATTATGGGCAGAATAAAAGCAAGTTTAAATATAAATTCATTAAGAATTAGGGGTGGAGAGGCTTAGAGGACTGGGAAACATTACCTGAAAGAAAACATCCCAGGATCAAGAACATCCGTGGGGAAGTACCCATAGCTGCCAACAACTGAAACAGAAAGGAGAAGGAAAGAGAGCCAGTTAATGGACTGATAACTGCATAAGACTTAGCAGGACCCCTCTTTTGCAATGCCCAAGTAGAGCTTCCCACCACTCCTCATGGTGCCACAAAGAGAAACGGCCCAGGGACCCCAGCTCACACCCACAGCCCATTGAGACTCACACCACTGCCCACGAGATACATGTGGCCACAGACTACAGGCAGCTAAGGCACCATAACCCCTTCTTTCAACTGGCAGTGTAAGGAACCAAGTCCCAATGTAAGGAACCAGGTCCCGGTATATCCCCTTTCAAATGACCTGCAAGCAGCTCTGCTGCCCACTACTGCCTCCAAAACTGAGCCTACAGAAACACCTCTGCACAGAGACAGCTCTCTTGCAGGCATCAATGAGGATGCAACAGCTTCAGGCAGCAAGTTCTGACCTTTCAGCTGCAAGTGTTTTTTATGGGAGAAAAAGCACATTTGAAAGCCACTCTTATTACAAATAGTACAATCCCAAGTGATATTTCTGTTTTGCCATTGTACATATGTATATATATAGCTTACAGAATACAATGGTGCTTATTGCCTATTTAGCAGGAATTCCCTTGATCAAGCAACATGCTATTTAAAACATATGCTGAAATTTTCTAATGAAATAAATCCACGACAGACTGTAGGCCAGCACTGCTACTCATATAACATCTCTTCTCCCCAACAGTGTGGAGAGTCATAGATCACATGCAATTATTTCAGCTTTCAAACACATAATCCTAAGGTATCTCTCTTGTAGAAGCAACAACAGCAGTAAGCATCTATGTAATTTTCGTGCCAGTTAACAACATTTCTACATAAAACCCTCAAGCATCCTGCTAGGTAATTTCTAAAGGAGAAGTTCCTACAGTCCCTACTCCCATTGGAATCAACAGATGTTCTGTTGTTAACTTTAGTAGCAACTGGATTTGGCCAAAAGACAATATAAATTAAAAAAACACTGCATGGAAGAGCCCCTAACCTGAAACACAGACAGGAGTTAAATAAAGGATGATGTGCCAAGACAGAGGCTGCTTTTCAAAGGTTCTGGAGAGTTTCTATTCATCCTCTAGTATTCAGTTCCTGATGCTGAGACAGGAAAATATGTAGGTGCAACTAGTTGTTACAACTCTGGCATTGCCGTGTGGGAGTTAAATGCTTTCAACATGCTGAGGAGTGTTTCTGAATTAGTCTTGCTTTCCTCTGTCAATGTGTGGAGCAGACAGCACTCATTGCAAAGCAAAAGTATTTGATACTCAAATCAAACATAAAGGTCTCAGAAGCAGGATTACAAGACTTACAAACTGCAAGCCTCAAAAACACGTACAAACTATTTCTGAAATTCAGCTAAAAATATTTCAGCAGAGACAAGGCCTTTTGCCTGATTCTTCAATTGACAATAATTGACATGTGTTTATGTATCTGTGTCTCATTGATAACAGACTCTTGGATATCAAAGAATTCCCTCAGTTTCAGCTTCCTTACTCATTTTTAGCACATTCATGTCCTGTAATATTTTCTGATAAAGTAACCCACTGTAACTCTTTAAAGACTTACCATGGTCTGCTTAATTGATCTAACTCCTAGCCTTCCAAGACCCATAAGATGGTGTTACCTCACTGTCCGCCAAGTTCCCTCCCTTTTCTCTCTGAAAACACAGCATTCTCCCCCTTTTGTGTTGTTTTACCAGACTGTTCAGTGCAAGTGATGCAGCACAGGAGGAGAAAAAACAAAGCTAGTTTATCTTTTGCATACCAGAAGCTCTGCTGAAGTGGACTAGCATTGTTGCAGAGCTGTGTGTGTAAGCGAGGACTGAAGCCCCATGACTTACTGGTGTAAGTAAGTAAATGTGATGGCATTTCCAAAGTGCTGTTTTGAACTTGCTGTCTTGGTTAGGCTGTTGCTGAAATCAAGGAGTGTCTCAACCTAGTTTAAAAACACAGTAACTTAACTAAATTTGCTTTCTCCATCTGGCTATTCTTTCACAACCCAGAGCTTTGATCTTTCCTCAATGACCTGTTAATGTCATCAAGACCAAAGCAACACTTCCTCACTGTGAAAGACAGAATAATGTACTGAGGATTCACCCTCGTCTGTATTCAAAATCTATTTTAACTGAATTTAGTTGTATCATGAATCTGACTTAAGCATGATGAAGTCCCATCACCAGCATATCCTCACACATTCTTGCCAGACTCAAGGTTTAGCATAGGCGTAATTTCACACTTTAGGGCGTGAGAGAGTTTGCTCATGCCCACAACACCAAGCAGGAACAGTTGTCTTGGTTTTGTTTATTTACAATCACATACATTTTTGTGTGCACTTATTTAGTTTTTTACCTTCCTTATGCAGATCAATTATCTTTGTCCTCAACTATCCAAATCTCAGCCCTAGATAAGCACATCAGGTTCAGTTCCTAACACTGGTCCGTCAATCCATAACTTGGTGTAGCCTCACTGAAGCCTGTAGCTTTATGCAAGCTGAAACCCAGTATTAACAGAACATATACGATGTAAGTTTGAGCCAACCTTAATTCTCTGCATACCTTGGACTTTGCTAGCTAATACATAAACATGGACACGTAGAGTAAAAGCTAAGTGATGCCATGAGAGCTTTGCCAAATTCTTTGCAGGGGATTGCCCAGGGTAAAAGAGTCATTGGATTTATATAAGTTTTCAAAGGATCTGACTGAAATCCTGGTATGTCTCTTGTGCTCTTTAGTGATAAAAAATCCCCCAAAACCAACCAACCAACCAAACACAAACCAAAAAAAAAAAAAAACAGAAAAATAACATCTGAAGAACTTATCAGCAAGGAGTCAGTTTTCCAAACACTAACTGTCAAGTGCTGGTTTACTACCAAGTAAGGTTTCATTGACTGTACCACAAAAGAAAAGGTAAAATCAATGTCCAGAAAGCCAATGGAAATATGTGTTTAAAAAATTATTATATTCCTAGGTGATTGCTCTACATGACCTAAAGAGAAAGAAAGGAAGAGGAACCAGAAGAGCCAATGGTATACATTTTTTTCATACTGCTGTAAATTAACGGAAGACCTCTTTCAAGAGAGAAAACTAGTCCATCTACCAGAACACTGCAAACGACTGGGCTGATTTCCTGCCAGCTACCCAGTCACTACAGTTCATCCTCTTGGCCACATGATGGCAATGTTGATCCACAATAATGAGCCAAATTTCTTGTCCAATAGAATGCAACGCTAGTCTTCAACGTACCAGATAGAATCTAAAAATCTAGGTCTCCTAGATCAACATAAAATTCAAAATTCTTGCATTTTAATTTCATGTGATAAAAAAAAAATAAAATAAAACCAAACTGGTCCCATTTGCTCTATATTTACATTAGGGATAGAACAGTTGGGTTGCAGATCTTGGCACGTAATGATGTGATTACCCTTGCTATGAGAGGGCTGGGTAATTTCAGTGGTGCTTTTGTCAGAGTGGCAGTCTGTCCTTCTGGGAAAACTGATCTTTTCCAGGAAGAGTTAAGGGAAACCTAAGAAAAGAAAGAAATATTTCCATCTTGCGGTGTTTGTCAGCATCTGAATGTAAATGTTCAGTCAGGACCTCCTGAAACGTTTCTTGGTTCTCAATTCCCAGATTGCAAACTCAACTGTCTGCAAGAGCAGCACTGCCCTGCAGCAGTAACATGTGGTTCTGAAGGTTTCACTGGCAAAAGGTTTAAACAACAAAAGAAAAAGTCTTCAGTGAAAAAGACTGGTATAAACATTCTCCAAAAATGAGGTTTGTTCCTCATCCCTTTACAAGTATTTGAATCCAGCATAGCCTGTACATAGGAAAAACTATGCATCAAGAAAAGCCCAAGAAATAACTATGCATCAAGAATAGTCCAGTGCTGGGCTCCTACATATGGCAATGGTTGCCCTCTAGTCAGCCCCAATTCTTCAGCCTAATCCTCAAGGAAAGAGTCCCTCAGTCTAGAAGCTAAAGGTGGGAGGGGAAATTGCAAAGTCTAAATTTTCCCACTTGATCCAAAGAGGATTTTCCAGACTGTCTCAGAAAACAGAAAAGAAAACAAAAAATAAATCAAACCAAAACAAACAAACAAACAAACAAACCCACCAACACCAAAACTGTCACTTCCAAGGAGTACACCTTACTTGTGTTCTCAGAATCAAAGAACACGTCAGATCCCAACTCATGTGTTAAGAAGCATTGTGTGGAAAAAACTATCCATATCTGTTGACCACAGGAGCTAGGAAGCCTAGCTGTTGTAAACTATTCCCTTGGGTGCCCATGTAAAGCCTTATTAGCTTGAAAGAAATGAGTCAAGCAGGAGAGCAAGGCAAGAGGGAGAGAAAGGACAGCTTGCTTTGTGGCTCAGGGATTTTTTTTAAATTATCAGCAATTCTTGCCTACTACCAAGAAAAATCACCTCTCAGAAGTCATTCTTGTGTCTTTAAGTCTTTAAAAGAAGCAAAGAAAACATCTTCTATTAAAAATTTTAGTGTTCACGTGCGAAAGTGCCATTGTGGTCATGATGAACTAAGAATGAAAGCAAGGCAAGGATTATATCAAGTTATACATTTAAGCCTCATTCTTTAGACCAACTGGTATAGCTGGAAATAACCAGCGAGGTCTGCACTATGCAAGACTTCTTCTGTGTATATTCATTGTGCTTGAGTCCTAGCTCGATGCTGCAGTACAGAAGAGAGGTATTTTATTAAAATATTTATTACTTCCTGCTTTCTTGAAACCTAATACTTATATATTACCCTCAGAGCCACATGAAGATTTCCCATACATTAACAAGCTATCAACAGTAAAGATAGCCCCAATGCCTGATGGCAACTGGACTGGCACACCTCCTGCTCTTCAGTGCCTGGAGAAGAGTACCAGAACAAGGGATCTCTTTTAGAAGCAGCGAGACAGTGCCTGCAGACTGACAGATTTGGTTTACTTGTGGACTCCTAAATGCCAGTGTTTTGTGAGGTCTCATTTTTCTTCAAACTTTTTTTTTCCAAGCTTTGAGGTTGGTTGAACCGCTGTTTAGCTGAGGCCGTTCTAAAATGTTTATTGTTAACTAGAAGCTAAACCCGAAGTCCCTTGCTGGGAGCTCTTTCTAGATCATTTCTAGACCCAGAGTTAAAAGTCGGATCTCCACAGTTCAGATTTTGATCAGCCGATGACAGAGGAATCTTTGATGCCTGTCTCCTTGTTTTGATCCTGTCTCTTGCCCCATCCAAGGACACAGAGTTTAGTCAGCTGAGCTGGGAACCCAGCTGGGCTCTGCATCGGCCCTGGGAGATGCCAAGAGCATAACAAGCCACCCCGCTTCCCTGTGTGTCCCGTCGGGGAGACAGCGGCCTTCTACAGCCAGCCGGGAGTGGGGTGTGGATGGTGGTGGTGGAGTTACGTTCACACCCTCAAGCCCCCATCAGGCTGCAGGCGCTTGACAGACCCTGTCTGCCCGCGGGGAACCCAGGCAGCAGCCCTCAGGGAACGGGGAAACGGCACTGCCGCGACTCCTGTTCGGTCCGCCGCCCCTCGGCGGGCCCGACGGCTGGAGCCGCTGCAGATCAAAGGCTGCCCAAGACACCGAGCAAACCTAGCAGAGATGGCAGCTCCCAGCCACTTCGCTGTTTGTCTGGAAAACAATAGGAAAGCCTTTGCCAAGCTGGAGAGACTTTTTTTTTTTTCTAATGCGAGGTAGCCAGGAAAAAAAAAGTACGGGAGACGGAGAGGAGCAGAGCAAAGACGTGTCTCCCTACGGAGCTACGACCCGGTGCTTCTTCTCCAGCCCTCTCCCTTAGGTGAAGCACGAACCCCGAGGGCGCGGGGTCTAGAGAGGGTGCGGAGTGGGACAGACGTGGTGCCACACCTGGGAGCTGTGGGACCAAGAGAGAGCGATGTGTCTGCAGCCCCGGGAATGGGTCCGTCGGTCCCCGTAAGGGTCGAGGCGATGCCCAGCCCTCCCCGGGCATGCAGCCTTGGGCCCCGGAGGAGCGCTAGGAAACCGGAGGTTTGCAAGAGACGCGTCGAAAATGCCGTCGATGGAGCGCTGGAAACACGCTCCCGGCGCGGGTGGGGGCCAGGGCATCGCCCCCGCCTCTGCATCGCAGCCTCCTCCCCGACGGGGAGCGGGCGAGCCCCGGGGGCTGGCGGCTGCACCCCGGGACTGCTGCTGCCTCCCTAGATCTGTCGCTGCTGGCTCCAGAAAAAGCTGTCCAAGTCCTGTTGTCTGGAACGGCTCCTGAGCTGCGGGATCCGCGTCCAAAAATGTTGAGCAATACCGCGGACAGCCAAAAAGCCATTTCCTACTTGCTCCTAGGACTTTTCCAGGGGACTCCAGCCTGGCAGAGGCTGGCAAGTTTGCAACTCCGCGCTTAACAAAATCCAAAAGTTGGCCGCGAAGACTTTGCCCTCCCCCGGGGTAGGAGGCAGTGCGGTCCAGCAATCCGGCGGGACATGCGGCAGGGCTGGCGCTCCCGTTGCGAGAGGGACTGTAAGCTGGAAAATCTCCAGGTACCAGCCCTGCCTAAATTCAGCATCTTCCCTGTTGCTGAGACATATAAAAAAAAAGACGGGGCTCGCAGGGATGGAGATCGGGTCGCCTTGGGGGTGTTGTGTACGTTCTCGGGACCTCGGGGCATTTTAGGCTACTGGGTCAGGGGGAATGAGGTGAGAAAGGGGGTCTGAAGAGGGGAAGGTAGTGAAAAACAAAGGGTGGGGGAAGGGACGGGTGAGCAGCGGGGTGAAGGAAGCGAGGGATGCGAGAAGAGAGGGAACCGCTTACTTTGTCGGTGCGCTTTCCCACTTTCCCCCCCACGGGGCGGACACCGTCGCTGCCCACGGAGCCCCGGCAGGTCGCTCCCACCCCCGCGGCAGGAATGCGGCGCGGTGGCCCCCGCCGTCCCAATGTGTTTGTCATTAGCGCTGCCCGCGCTCCTCGCCGCCGCACCCCGACGGCCGGCGCAGCGCCGGCTCCCCGCTCCCCTCCACGGGGCCGCCAGCGCCCGCTGACTGCGCCCTGCGGGAAGAAGCCCCACACCTATCTCAGAGCATCGAGGGGGAAAAAAAAGGGAAAAAAAAAAAAAAAAAAAAAAAAAAGATACCCCCCTGACAAATAAATAAAGAAAAAAATAACAAGATAAATCAGGAAAAAAACGTGAGAGTAAAGGTGTAAAAAAGAAAAAGGTGGGGAAACTGCTCCTCACTTCTTACCTTCTCCTTTACAATCCGCAGCCCCAATCCTGCAGATTGTAAAACATCCAAAATATGTCCACGTCTTTTGTGACTTTCCCCGCTCAGCCGCGCTCTTTCCCTCCCGCTTGCCCTCCCTCCCGATCTGACTGTAATGGTCTCACAAACCGCGTTCCGTAATTGATTCAATGTTATAGTCCATCCTTCCAAAACTAATCATTTGCTTTAAGTAAATAGCTGTCAGGAAATGAAGCCCCCCTCAGGCCCCTTCAGAATAAGAGCTGTCCTGGCTCGCCCGGCGCCCCCAGCCCCGCGGCCGCACAACCCCAGCCCCCCGCCCCCCCCCCGACCCCCCCGCCCCGCCCCCAACAACCGCCACCCAACCCCCCACACCCCAAAAAAAACACCCCGCCACCGCGGCCGGAGGCGGGCGCGCCGGCGGGGGGCTCTTACGCAGGCAGGGGGGCCAGTCTCTGCCTCCAGATTTCACCAGGCTCGCAGGGGAGGGGGAGGTTAGCCATATGGCAGGGGCGAGGGGGAGGAAAGGGGGAAGCGGGGAGTTTTTGCGCTGCAGGGGGAGAAAAAAAAAAAAAAAAAAAAAAAAAAAAAACCAACCCAAAAAAACTTTTATGAAAACTCAGAGAGCTCCCAGTTTCATGAATGAGCCTCAGACCCTCCAGGACGGTGGGTCTGGTGCCGAGCTCGATGTCCACGGTCACAGTGCGAGTTTATGGACGGGGAGTTTGATCTGGAAACGAATTCGCGGCTTCCTCCTGTCCTTTGTACACCGCTGAGCTCCGGCTTGGGCTAGAGAGAAGGATGGACGGCCGTGAGCCAGCCAGGAGCAGGAAGCACTGAGAGAGAGAGGGAGAGACGAATTACTAACATTTATGAATGAAAGACACAACGAAAGGTAACCTTCAGCAGGAGCCAGCCCCCCCAAACCCCGCAGCTCCGACGGGACCGAGAACGCTCTTCTCTTCGTCTCTGCCTTCGCTTTTCCCAGCGCAAACAGACCCTAGTAATAACCAAATCAGGGGCTCGGCAAGGGCCAGAGGTGCCGGCGGAGGCGCGGGCAGTGCACGTCCGAGCCCGTCCTGTTTGAACACGCTCCAGACGGAGCTTTGATCCCCGCCGGGGAATCAGCGCTGGGTATCTCTGCTTTGTTGGCCGTCGCTATCTGCTGGCGATAAGGGGTGGCCGAGGGAGCTGCCCTTGCCGTCCTCCTGCTGTAGGCTCCGTGCGGAGCGAGGCGAGCGCGGCCGGCGGGACGAGGCGATGCGGCGGCCGCGGGAAAGGGGGCAGTGCAGCCCCAGGAACGGAGCGGAGCGGAGCGGAGCGGGTCCCTGCGCGCCGCCTGCCTCCTGGGGAGGGTACCGGCCCCAGATCTGCGCCCCAGGGCTTCTCCTGCTTCCTCCCCTCCCCAATCTGGCATCACCACCACCCGCATCTCTTTTTCCCTTTTAATATTAAACAAAAGAAAAGTTTGTTCTCAAAGTCAAGAGCCAGGATCCAGTGGTTTTTCTCTTTACTGAGTGAAGCAGAATTAAGCCTCTGAAGCGAAGATGCCCCGGAGGGAATGGGTACAGAAACGAGAACCGACTCCCATGGAACCGCGCTCAGGCTGGGGTACCCCCGGCTGGGCTCGCAGGGTCCCCGGTGGCGCTCCCGGCCCTTTGCACGCCCTCCACTAGTGCATCCACGGCTCGGGTGAGTGCACAACCCCGCTATTGCTTCCACATGTTCCTCCAGGAAATCATCGGAGTCAGAACTGTGAGCAGCCCCTGGTCGGAATGCTAACAGGATACCGTAATGCTTGTGAATAAACAACAGGCTCCCAGTGAGTCAAAAGTATGGCAAAAAAAAAATCCCCCAAAACCAAAACAAAATAAACCAAAATCCAAAACTAAACAACCAAAAAACAACACGGGGGGAAAAAACTCACACTGCACCCTGGAACTCTGCATCTGGGAGGGTGAGCGTACCTAGTAGCCTGAACCCCTTAATTTGTGGAGGGAAATGTTCTATCATGACTTGGATCAGAGCTGTGAGGTCTCGCAAATATAAGCCCCGCGAAGATGAGCGTCAACTGTCTGTGCGCCCCGAGGCGATCTTGCAGGATTCGGTCCTTGATGTATCGGCGTGAGCGTGTCTGGTTTAACGTGCGGGGCAGAGGTGGTGATTCCTGGCGAAGTATCATCATGATGGGATGTAATGCGAGAGTTACTCTTGCGAAAAGAAAGGAGCAAAATGAAAGGGGAGGAGGCGCCTTCTGGTTGCAATTACCTGGCTCATTTGAATAATGCCTTTGTCATGATCATTATCGAGAGGTCGTTAACGGCTTCCACGTGGGATCTCACAAGACCCAACGAAAAATAAAAATTGCAAACTGAGGGACTGGCAAAGCTGCCTGCCAGGCAAGGCTGGCGCTGCAGGCGGGGGCCCGACGGCTTTGCGGGGACAGGGACGGCGGTGTCCCGTCGCCCAGACCCCCTTCTGGGGAGCGGTGATACTTTTCCCTTCCCTACGCTAAGGGCCCGGCTGCGCCGTCCCCATGCCCGCCGCCCCGACAAGGACCGAGCCGGCGGGAGGTGGGCTCTACCGGTTCTCGTCGTTGGGCCGATCCCCCTCCTCAGTATCGGTGGTGTCTATGGATTGGTTCCGCGCAGAGGAGGTGGTAGTTAAAATAAACCCTCCGGGACGTCTGCTGAGCTCTGCCCCCCGCCCTGTGTGGTGCAGGGGGGTCCCGTCCAGAGAGGCGCGGGGGACGTGGGGTTAGCGAGAGGACAAGTGGGGGTGGGGGAACTTTTTACCATTGCGGCCCCCTCTCCTCTCCCCTCTCCTCCCGCCTTCCCCTTTCCTGAAGGGTTGGAGCATAAAGTATCCCGCTAGCCTATGTTTATGTGGCAACAGATGGAAGCTGCACACGTCTTAAACAAAACTGCGGTGCCCGAGCTAGAGCAGCTCTCGCCTGTTTATGCTCTCAGCCTACCCCCCGGCCTGGATGGGTGGGTGTACGTCCCGCTCCCGGGCCCGCGGCGCCGGCAGAAGCCGGGCATCGGGGGCACTGACGGGGCGGGTTATTGCAGGGCGGCTCGCTCGGCTCCCGGACGCTTCCAGAGGGGCTGGTAACTTTCGAGCCGCCCTGCTTAGCATTCTCCTCCCTGGGGAAATCCCAATTTGTTGCAAGTAATAAGCTCTTTCCTGCGGCTCTCTCCCAAGGGTGAACCGTGAAGCGGTTGGCTGGCTGAGCCTATTGGACAATGCAATGGGTGGCTCATGTGGGGTCCGAGCGGCCACCGGCGGGACGGTGCAGGCGAGAGGGCCCCGCGGGAAGGCCCGCCGTGGGGCCGCAGCCTTTTGACTGGATGGGAAAACATGTCTGGGTTTGATTATCGTTACCCACGTTCAGCGACGCACGGAATGGGAGTCACCCTTTTTACCTTTTAGAGCAGGAACCCTTGCCTGGCGAAGAGCAGCTACAGCGTGGAGCAGAGAGCCCTGAAACCCCTGAGACAGAGAGAAAACAGAGCGACCTGTCATAACTTGTCGCTATAAATCCGTGCTCACATCTGAGCGAACTCAGCGGCGAGGGCTTCCTGAAATAGACGGAGACCTAGTCAGGCGACCGCCAAGGCCTCGAGCCCCGCCGAGAGATGTGCTCTGCTGGCGGGAGGGCCCTGTGTACATTTGCAGTCCTACCAGGTTTTTATTTCTTTTCGTATTTCCACAAATACAGATTCCCTCATATTGTTTGTTCAACAGAATTTGGCTCTGAATAGCAGGGGTCCCGTGTCACCGGGAAGACAGGGAGCCAGACAAAAGAAATAACTTTGCCCAGCCTGCCCTCTCTAGCCTTTATTTTTATTCCCCACATGGTTGGTTATGGTAGCTCCCCGTGCCCGTCGTTTTCCCACTGAGGCCGCTGCTGCAACGACGTCGAGCTGTTTTCCTCTTATTGTTGCTTTTGGCTCTTGACGTTAAAAGATGCCAGAACAGCCGTGGAAGCCTTATTCTTTGAAAAGCAGGCTTTGTTTTTCCTTTTGCTCCCGCCCTGACGTTTTTTTTCACTGCGGCAGAACGGATAGCCCGCTTTGGTCCAGAAGCAGCCTGAACCAAGTTTAGGGGTGAGGTAAAGCAAGGCGTTACCCTTCTTAGCCTTTCACCGGCGCCTGGCTCCGCGCTCCTCTCCACTCCGGCCCCCCAGCCCCCAGGTGGGGAGCCCCAAGCCCCGGCGGTGCTCCGACGGGCGCGAAGGCAGAGCCGAGGCAGAGTCGAGGCTGCGGGCGCCTGCGGGGTGCGTTCGCCACCGGTCGAGGGGGTCGGTGCCGCCGCCCGCGACACTAGAGGGCACCGGAGCCCGCGGGAGTAGCCAGCCCAGCCGGGCCTGGCAGGGGCACGGCACCCCGCCGGCCGCTGCTGCCTCTGCGGTTCGTTGAGCGATCGACCGGCTTTGGAGAGAACGTTGAAGGGAGGCCGTTCTCTCACTCCCGGCAGTCTAAGGGCTCCAGCCCTGTAGGTCCAGCCCCGCAGGTCCAGCCCGGCCCCGAGCCGGGCTCAGCAGCTGGGAGTATGTGGCACGTTGTAAGCAAAGCAGAGAGATAAATTCCTCCCGTGATACAAATGGAAAATTTTCTCTCTGAAATCAAAGCATCTCTTCTGCTGATTCAGCCCAGGTTTCACTTCGGTTCATAACTCCCGAGACCATTATCTCTGCCTTTGTTCTTTCTAGCTGTAGCAATTAATGTATTACAGCAGTACAAAACCACAGCCAGACAAGACTGCTTTCATTCTGCAACTATTTACTATTAGTACCAGCTTTGCCCCCTTGGGCTACTGTGCTTGGGAACCCAGCCCTGAGCTCTGCATGGTGGAGCTGGCTGGTGTGGAGGCCACCCCGGGCGTCGTGGTCATGGTTATCCTTGACACGGTGGGCATGGGCCAACTCTGTGTCAATATCAGTCCCCTGGGCTGACCACTCCGCCATACGTTCCCCCCACATGCACAGAAGAAACAAAATAGGGTGAGCATTACCAAGTGCCAAACTCAGGAGAGACACAACGTGTCTGTTTACTGACCACCCTGAATTGCTCATGCTCCGAACATGGGATATAATTTTTCTGTTTCATGCCACAGTAGGTTTTCTTCTGATGCTTAGTGATTAACACACGCCTTTGGCATGACTTGCTGTGGAATATCTGGAGCTGTGGCCAAGGTTTCTAAATTGTAATTTTCAGTCTGTATCTCATCTAATTCTGCAGAGAGCATCTTCTGCCTCAGTTACATGATCGCTTGCCTGTCTGTTGTTGACAATCCTGGAGAGTACTCAGTTATATACACTCCTCTGGAGCGAGGTGGTTGCAGAGAGAGAAATGACAAAGTGAGATGAGAGGAAAATGCAGCTATAGGTCCCTGCAGCCACAGATTTAAAGCTACAGTTCAGACTTAGCTTAGTCATGTAAGCTTTAATGTGGCTTGAGAACAGGGGATACAGTAGCATGTAGTTACATTTTGGTCCTTAGATTGCTTGCTCTTCTAGTCAGATATTCTGTTTTTTAATTTGAACTACTTTTTGAGAAAGAGACTAGTGTGGAAACTGGGACAGATTCTGCTTTGTGTAAACCTGGTGTAAATCTAACTTCAAGGGAAATATTCCAGATTGAATCTGGTATAATTAAGACTAAAATTTGGCTCTGGAAGACTTTTCTTTGGCAGTAAAGTTAGAGAAGTACTGAGAAGAAAAATAATTAAAACCGGGACTTTGTGCTCTTTTAAATAACATATGCTATAGGCTCTTTGAATGCATTTGTTCTCCACGACAGCAGTATTTTAAAACTTTCACTTTGGTTCCACTAACCAAGTTAACCCTTGACAACCAACTGTGTTTAAAATACATTATGTACAGAAACCTATAATTTTGCAGGATATTGTCCAAATAACAACCAAACTCCGTTAAAATGATACGATTACTGCTGTGGCAGTAGCAAGCTTCCACTTGCTGGTGAAGTCATGAATTTCCCTGTCCTAGCCACAACATTGGCATTGAAATCAATCTGAGTTTATACCTTATTTGTCAACATGGTTTTTTTACATGGTGCAAACCTTGTTATCTGACTGCTAAACTCAACAGACTGAGGAGCAATTGTCAAAAGGTTGTTGCTTTTTTATCCCTGGGAAGTAAATTCTGAAAGGAGTTCCTAAAGGAACACTGAAAAACTGTATATTACTACACATTCTTCTATAAGACAACAAGATGTCATCTAACAGTTTCTGTGTTCAATATCACATTATTTGTTAGGCCCATGCCCCTAACAGAAAATATCTCACCATAATTTGATTGCAATTGGTGAGAAGATGCTGGCCAATTCTTGCCAGGTCTGGCTTTTATCCCCAGTGAAATCACAAGGACATCTGTCATTCTCTTGAGTGGTCCCAGATTTTCACCATGGGTTAATCAGATCTTTCTTTAGGGTATGTAGAAAAAGGAGGGGGTAAGGGGAAATAATCATTTATCTTTGATTCTTTGTGATATATGAAGAATATGGATTTAGAAAACATGTTTTGCTGTTTTTAAATGGGGTTGGCATGTAAGAGGAGTCAAATCTTGTTTGTTATTTCAAAATACAGGAATATCAAGCCTTGTCAGCCTTCTTTTTTGGTAGAGGATCCTTGCTGAATCAGTGAAAAAAGACATCAAAGCTGACTCTTTCACAGAGCAATCTTTTAATCTCTTTATTGAGTAGGTTTGTAGAATTAGGGAGCAGTCAGACACACATCATGCCCAAAGTCCTGCTGCAATGAGTTTATCCACCGTCCTTCCTCCACCCTGCATGGGTGCCTCAGAGGAAAGCAGGTAGTAAATGTGGGAGGAGAGCCCAGACTGCATCTCTGAAAGAACCTGTGCTGCAAGAGCCAGGAAGATGGGGCCAATTCTGATTTTACACATTTGAGTGGTTTTTTCAAAGAAAGGGAATTGTGGAGTAATCCCTCACCTTCCTGGACCCTATTTCTATCCATGTCTTGCTTCCTTTGTCCCACATTAACAGGCTGAGTACTGAAGGAATAGCAGTAAGTGTGCAAAAAAAAATGCCCAATTGAGAACAATACTTTTTTTTTGATCAGTCAAGGACACCACAAAGAAAGAATAAGAACAGCTCACTTCATTCCTATTTTTTATTTTGTAGTCAAAGGGAATAGAAGTGTGCTCTCCTTATTGTCAAGAAAGTACAGAATTTCCTTTCCATCTCTCTTTGTGATGGAAGAAAACATTTGTAAAGCCAAAGTAAATCCAAATAAATTCTTGCAATTCCTTGCAAACTTACATTTTTCTATTTTTAGTTATTTTTCTCCCAATGTGCTTTATACTATTATAAGACGAAGGTATTATTGAAATCTATGCCTCTATGAAACTTTGTTGGGAATTTATTGCTAAGCAAGCTGCAAGAAGAGTCTCTGATGGTCTGAATCAATTTATGAAGGCTGGTCCAATTATCCTTTTCCAAAACATTGTAGGATTTAGTCAACTTGACAAGATGAAGGCCTTGAGGAAATGCTTTACTCCAGAAACATCAGCAGCTGTAGAGCTGGGGGCTGATCAAAACAGTGCTCAGAAGCATAACTGTAGCCTCTGCTGCTAACAGGGATGTTGGAGGCACACAGCTCTGCTTAGGGGAGGTTAAAATATATAGGTAGTTAGACAGTTGAAGTGGATAGAAGCCATTGCAAATATCTGAGGAATCTAGTGCTTTTTTTTCTTGCTGGGAGACAAATGGTCCCGTAGCCCACTTAGCACCTGCCAGTGCCTCTCTACTGCCCTTTGCCCTGTAGGGTTGCTTGTTCTGACAGCTTCTGAAGCTCTCTGGGCTTCAAATTCCTTCTCCGTATGTTGGTCTTTTTCATTGCTGCCTGTCCCAATATTGATTTAGGAAAGAAGGAGAGTTAAAAATAGCAGGCTTCAGTACTGTCCACAGACCTTCTGCCTAGCTTTGCTTTAGGCCTGTGAATCACAAACATTGGTTTAAACCATCATTAGCATCTGAATGAAGATAAAGGGGACAAGAGGAGCTAGGATGGGCTGTCACCTTGTGTAAATATCGCTTCTCAATTATATTGAAGAGTAGGAGAGAAGCAGATCACAGTGGAGGATGTTTGCATCCCATTTCAGCAGTGGGGATTATTTGGAATTAAGGATGTAACAAATTGACTCTCAAAAAACCATGTTGGATCTCTCAAAGAGTCCACTGGAGCCTGAGTGAAACCTGCTGTCATTCTTGGGTAGCTTTATTTCCTTCTTTCTCCTTGCTGCCATCATTGCCTCTAAACTGTTCTGCCTGCTGAAATACATGAGAAGCAAGGGTGAAGTCCCAGGTCACAGGGGTATGCAGTGTGAAGAGGGATGTGTTTGACGGGGGAGTAGGCAGTCATACTGCAGTGGGTTGCACGGTTTTATGAAGGTCAATAAACCGCGGCTCCATCAGACCACCGGAGAGAGTGGCTTTCCCAGCTGGAATCATTCAAACATGTGGCCCTGCACTAAAAAACACCCCAGCTCCAGTCTCCAGGAATGAATTTCTGCCATGGTTAGTAAAAGTGTCCCAGAATATCTCAGAGTCCCAGTGTTAGACAAGAAGAGAGCCAGACTCTGAGAGAGACACATTCAAACTGGGATTAAAACCAACTGCTGGCTTCCCACCCAGAAGCAAAAATAAAACGAGCGTTGGCTGTAAACACAGGCACCACAGGCTCCCCCCACCCAGCTCCACAGCTTTGCCAGCTCTGCAACTCCTACAGCATCTACAGAAGCCACAACAGAAAGGAGACACCACAAAAGTCAAAAACAGAGTAGTCTGTGGTGAGGTGTCTTTCAGGGAGGAAAGCTTTCAGATCTCTACAGAGGTTAAAATGTGCCAGGAGTGGCAGGTTTGAACCTGTTTGGGTCAAAAAATACCTATTATTCTGAGAGCAGGTGGTGAATCCAAAATACCTCAGCACTGTGGCTTTCTTTAGTAAGAAGTCAGTGCTGAAAAATATGATGTCATCCTGTCAGCTTGAATGTACATTGGTATGGCAATGCAATGACTAACCCACGTGGACTAGTGTCTCTACCATTTGCTAAGGAGACCCAAGCATCAGTCCCACCAGACAATGAGCCTGCAGAGGAAGCCAGAGGAGCAGGAGAGTAACATGCTGGATGACAGACTTTCTATTGGGAAAGATCTGGACACAGTCTGTGGGCTACTGAGTCCAGGAATTATGCTGAGACCTGGAAGCAGAACAGGACCACAGTGCACAAAATGCTACATGCAGAGGGTACAGGCAGGGTAAGTCCTAGTCTTTAAAGTGGTGATGGCAGGTGTCCAGGCATATTGAAATGCATTGGTGCCAGCCTTTAAATCCTCCATTCAGACAGGAAGTGTTTTTGCTGATGATTAGTGCCAACACAGTGATTAGGACCACAGGAGTTTGTCTGGGGCGAGAAAAACCTTGGGTAGACAGGACAGCTAAGCCTGTGGAGAAAGCATAGGCAGAGGCTTGTGTCCTCTTGCTCGGATTTAAATTAATTATTCACTTAGCATTCACTAAAGCAGCTACACGGTTACAAAGGTGAAAGTTTAGATTGCTTATCATTTCTGTTCATGTTAGCTTGGAAAACTTTAGGCCCGCATGTACCAACACATGTAACTCTCCCTTTGGAGTTACAGTCTAGAAGACTGGGTTTGACCAAGTAAATTAAACGGATCAGCTTGCATTTAGCACTAGTTTTACAGGTCACTTCATAGCTACAGTGACTTCACCAGTGTAAATCAGGGATAACTGTTGAAATCCATGAAGTTACAGTGAGTGAAGTTACAGTGAGCAACGTTACAGTGATCATTCATGATGTTTTTCGCTTTTGGAAAACCAAAATGGTGAATCAGAAAATCTGTAAGGACAACATTATATGTAACAAGTTGTACCTACAGGGTACAGGTCTGTTAGATGTATCTCAGAAAAATCAGTATCCTAAAGGTGGGGTTATAAGAAAAATTTCTAGTGTTTTTGTTAAGAATATCACCAAAAGGGTTTTGTTTTGGAAACATATGAAAAACAGAGCCAACTTTCCACTTCCAGCATCTCCCATTCAGAAGGAATGTGCAGAAGACCTTGATATGATATGAATTAAAAGGATTCTGCCTCTGCCAGCCCTAAATTCCAGGAAGTGAGACGCAGCATCCTCATCTGTTCTTACAGGCAACATTTGTTTTTACTCTAGCCTAAATACCACATTGTTTCCTAAATCTCAAGAAGTTGACCGTTCACTTAGATTCCTCAACCTCTCACAGCAGAGCAGCAAGCTCTACATAGGTATTTCAAGTGCTCTTGCATGACGTCCAAAACTGACTCCTGCCCCTAGAGATTTAGAGGCACCTCTGAAAGAAACACAATGGATTCCAGTGTGTGCAGAGCTACTGGGACAGAGCTGATAGGTCACCCAGGCTGTCTAGAGGCCCCTTGATAGCAATGCCTGGAGTGACGGGGCTACAAGATCTTTTCCTACCTGAAGCCAGGCTAAAACACCAGCCCATGATCCTGCAGGGAAGTAGATTTCATAATGTATATTCAGAGCTTCATGAAATCCTTCCATAGCCCTGTAGGGGCTACTTTCAGATTTTGCTTCTTTCCTTCCTCTCTACAGCATCTCCCATTATTCTACTTGCTGTGCACAGGCAGCAAGCATCCTACTTGTCTTGCACACATACTTCCAAAAATGTGAAGAAATCCTCTGGTCCTGGATTCTGAACTGGCAGATATTACCGAGCCAGTCCCTCACTCCCTACTGAGCAACTGGCCTGATGTTCTCTGAGTGAGGAGTGCACTGTGCTAGCAACATCCGACACTCTTCAAGGAGGTTGTGCACTGTATCTGATGGAGTCACTGGATTTGCTGCTATCATGTAGAGGAAGGATGCAGATAAAGAGGCTTCTGCAATCACCAGGCAGCTACTAAAATTTAGAGGTCCTGATCCTGAAGGACAACTGCGTCAATAAAAATCTTATATTTGTTGGGATGCCTATGCCTGCTGTAGGCTGGTAAAACACCACCCTCTCACCTCCCCTTCCTCTCACCACTTCTGCTGACAGTGGTATCCCAGAAGCACAGTACTGGTGCGGCAGAATAAATAGTTAAGTATGCTGAAGTGGGTTTTCTCCTGATTTCCCCTATCTCCTTACACCGGTGTAAGTTAATTAAAAAAAATCACAAAAAAAAAAGTTGTAGCATACAAAATATTTTGCTAAGTATTTTCTGAGGTTGCTGAGGGATTTAAGTAGTGAGCAACATTACTCAGGGGTAGTATAGTTGCTTTTCGTCTCAAAAAATAATTAATTAGACACAACAGAATATTTTGTCAAGCATTGCTCTTTCCCAAACATTAAAAAAATTATCTTTGTAATAACTACATAAGAATTAATAAGGGACTCCGTAAGCATTTGGTCATACTACCTGAGGCCTGGGTTGAGATTAGTGTTCCTAAAACTCACTATGAAATGATTAATAAACTTCAACAAGCTATACCCATATGTATATCTCCTCATGTCAGAGGTTCTCCTTCAACATCACTAAGGAAGAAACTCAAAACATTGAATGTAGCTCAGTAGGATGTCTTCTATCTCAAATCCCTCTATGGCAAATCACTGATCCAAATGGGTTTCTGGAAGTCGTTAACACAAAGCAAAAAGCTTCAACAAGCCAAAACAGATCACTAGTTTTTCTGGAAAATTTTAACAGACTCTTGTGGAAGTTTTTTAATTTTTCTCTGAGAAATCTCTTCTTTTTTGGCAAAATTAAGAAGACTCAAATTGTATCCTAGATCAAAAACTATTCAAAACACTGTCAAGTTCTCATTTTCTACATCTTTATGAGTTTCATTTTTCCTTTTTTTTTTCCCTTAAGCATATAGAAAAAAAATAAGAGGAGAATGGGAAGGATCTCTGCTGCATGGTGACCCTCCCCAGCTTGAAAGCTGACACGGAACACTTGGGTTATCTCAACTTCATACTCCTTGGGCTTGTTTACTCCTTTGTGCAATGATGAAGTTGTGCTGGCTCATTTTCAAGCTATTGCAACAGTCACATACTGAGACTCTTCCTCCATCTGTGTGTCTTCAGATTGTAGCACATTCCCACTTGCTGAACTGGGAACAGATAAAAACTGGGACAAGAGAAAGACAGGTTGTTTGCCCCTTTGTGGTAAAACCAGTGACAAGACTCTAAACTGTGCTGGTGGCACAAGCAAAGTGGATGCTTGCTGCAGTTATGGACTCAGAAGATACCTGAGAGAGAAGGAAATCGTGATGGATTTGGTCAATCTGGAGATGCAAGACTTCTCTAAATAATTCTGAGAACAGGAAGTGGTGAAAAACAGGGACAGGATCAAAGAAATACGCACAGTTCCTTTCCAGCTCCTTCTGCCTCCAGCATCATCTTGTTATAGTTGATGTGACTGTTCAGCTACAGGCTGAACAGACAGTGTGGCTGCAGTCCTAAGTGTTCCTATGGTACATCAAAAGACAGGAAACTTTGAAGAAATGCATAATTTCATGAAAATATTAATAAATGTTTGGTGTGCTGCCTCAAGAAAATGAGATATGTTGCATTTGCAGTAATGCAGATAACATTCATGCAAGAAAAATCTAGAAGAATGTGACTGCACACAATATTTAGGCTAATTTTTACTTTATTTGACAACTGCTTTGAGAGGAAAACAGCATTTTAGAAAGATTTTTTGTTTCCTATACTCATATCATAAGGATTTTGAAGTGCAAAGGTCACTCATTTTTCTAAAGAGTGTGGTGACACAGATCAAAAAGTTATATCATGGCATTAAATTATCTTCATTACAAACTTTGATCACTATCAGGTTGTTATGATTCTTACTGGAGAAAAACTAAAAAAAAATCAAGTCCCACTAGCACAGTTTTGAAATGCTATCTCTAGTATTTCTTTTGAAATGCCTTTGAAATATTTTTGTCACATTATTTGTTCTTAGTAGTTTGTTTTCCTAATCTTTGAGTTTTATATTTTCACAAGGGTCTTTTTATTAAAAAAAAAACCTGAATAGCTCCCTCATGAGAGAAAAAGAGACGCCAAGTTTGTTTAGTATATTACATATCGCTTGCCACTTTGATAGTTACCTAATTTGCAGACATGGGCATAATTTCAAGTTGGCAGTGCCGCCTTAAACTTTGATTTCAAGAATGCTGTTTTATTAACATGATCTGACAGAGTCCCATAAACCAGCAAAGTTGTGCAATGCTTCTTCCGTGTTTTCATCTCTTAGCACAGATTTGTTATTTTCAGAAAAGAATGACATTGCACCATTTCTGGAGCAATGTAGATGACTTCAAAAGTCACCTCTTCTAGAAAATGATTACTATAATCTATTATTTAATCCTCTATCTAATCCAGGAACTGTCAAAACCAGATTGATTACTGTCTAGAAAAAATGAATGGAAAAAATAAAACATAGGGAAACATATGAATAAACTGCATACAGATGCACTTTTTTATCATACTTTTCTATGTACTTATATATGCAAGCATACTTGTACCTGGCAGTTTTCTTAATTCATCTACATTTCCCCTTCACACTTGGGTTTGTTTTCAACAGTCATTTACTTGATTTTTTGTTTTGCAGAAAGTAATCAGTTAAGATCAGCACTCTGCCATGTTCAATGCTTTTTATACACATATATAGCTATAAATGGATATATATAAATACACGTAAGGCCCAGAGTCTGCAGTGACATGAGTGTGACAGAGAGAGTGTGACAGTCCTTGTCCCTAGCAAAGGCTGCAGCTGCTCTCCAAAAGCCTCTCCAGAGCAGCACAGCAAGGAAGATTCTGCCAATAAAGTCTATTGGAATCAAGTTGGGAAGCATCCTTGGCAGGCAAGAAGACAGCAGTCAAGAAAGAAGTTAAGGACCAAAGTGAGAGAAGTGAGACAAAACCTGGTGTGAGAAAGTGCAAGTTCATGTATCAAAAAGTTACGAACAGTTTTTGCTGTGAATATAAGAAAGATTAGTAGACAGATGGGATAATTTTGAGCTCCCAGACATTTAATGATCAAAATAAAATATATTAAAAAAAAAAAAAGAAAAAGAAAAACAGATAACAGAAAGTATCAGGATAGGAATTGACATCAAAGACATCAGAGAATAAATGCCATTCTACAAGGCACTAGGTATTACCCTGTTTAGCTGTATTCAAGCATATCCAGGAAAAAGAAATCCTAGGTTCAGGAGAAGGGCTACCTTGAACAGGGTAAGATAAGAGGACACATAGGGAGCCTGGCTATGTCAGTCTGTCAAACTGAAAACTGAAAATGAGTAAGTGTCTTCAAAATGTAACAACAGAGTAAATACCAGAAGAGAGAATATTCATTTAAGAAAAAGCAAAAGAACAAATATGCTAAAAGGTAATGGTAAATAATGTATCAGTAAAGAAGTAAATGTTGATCATGAACATGTTTACAATGATAACAAAATGTTTCCAAGCACCAGAGTGATGAGTTTAGAGACGGTCCTCTAAAATGATGGGCTGGTCATCAAGAGCACTGCAGCAATCTAAGAGGTGAAAGACCCCCCATGGCTCCAGTCTCAGAGGACCAGGCTCTGTATAATCCTGAAGACCATTTGTTTTGCCAGAAGGATGGGACAGCAAAGGCAAGTGGGCATCAAAACTGTTCCATCCCCAGCTTGGGGAACCAAGCTATGAAGCAGTGGCTCCTATTACGGGAAGGAGGTATCTCCTTCACCTCCACTACTATAGTAACCTCCACTATACACATATCAATTCATCCCTTGCTGGTGGCTGCAGTAACTGTAGTCTGATTTTCCAGAGTTTTTAGATACATAGAAGAGGTTGAGCGTTGTCCATGCTGAGAATTAGTGCTGAATTATGACACTCTACAAACTACTGCAGTGCAGAAAGGAATAAATCTCTTTATTATGATTTTTAAATGTTCTAAATAAAAGGATAGTTATTACTTGGCTTGTTAGAAGCTCAGTGGTTGCTCAGGATTTCCTGAGCAGGTTATTGGGCAGGTCATCAGACAGATTACACTTTTCTGAAGCTTGTAGTAACTAGCTGCTAGCTATGGTTACTCTCCAGTATTGAATTAAAATGCTGGAGTAGGAGGCAGAAAGAAGACCAGGAATGGAATCAAAGCTGCAATCTGTTAACTTCACTGAGACATGGCACACTCCTCTGAGAGCAGCTCAGCACATTGTTAGTGCATCAGTTTGTGAAGGCTCCCTTCTCACCACACAGCCCTTCAGAAGTTGGCTAGGGAAGACAGCATATCACGAAATACCTTGGCGGTGTGCTGGATTCTCTTATTACACCACCACGAGTAAAGGAACACTATTAAGTCAGGCGTAGCTGGAAGTTGTATTTGCAGAGTGATCTGGACCTCATGTTATTTGTATCTGTAAAACTATTAACCCTTGCACTCTTCTTTCAACGCTCTGTTCTATTTTCTTTTCGAAATGATAAAGGGAATGAAGTTTGTGGGTAATTCCTAAGTAACTCTGCGCTCAGCTGCCATCATTGCTTGGTCTTAGGGGTTTCTCTCTCTTCAGGACTCACATCTAAGTTTATTCAAATAATGGTATATAGGGCCTGATACTGTACCAGCCTCTTCTCATTTTCATATACTTGTTGCTTCTTAGTTGCTCAAAGACACAGAACGAAGATTTCACCAAGGTGGAGAGAAATATTCCTTCTGCTAGCTCAGGCTCATAGGGCAAATGCCACCCTTGCTTGTTGAGTTTTCTTGTCATCTCTCCATCTCCCCTTCTTCTTTTCTGCTTCCAGAAACAACAGTATTTTGTCTTGAAGCAAACTTTCTGCATTCCACTTGCTATTTTTGTCAGTGGTGTAAGGCATGCACCTGCTTTTCATTAATCTAGCAATCTCACAAAGCTTCAGAAATACTTGTTTGAATAGGGATGCCAGTATACCTCTATGGATGTGGCTCACCCTTTACCTCTGGGGACATCACCTGTAACTCAGAGGGCAGAGGTCTGTATTTTGAAGCTGAAGGACAATACTTCTGTTTCTATGTTCACAGCTCATTGAGTTTTAGAAATAATTTGTCAACTGCATCCTGAGTCTGTGCCACATGGCTCCACTAACATATCCACAAAATCTGTCAGAAAAATACGCTGGTTGACTGCATTCAGTGAAAATGTTGCATGTTTCCTGCAGAGTGACAAATTCCAGCATTAAAATGAGGTCTCTGTATCAGCACACATGGAGGCAGAAGGGGATTAGAGTCCTTTCAATAATCAAAAATGTATAAAGTTGAGGCTTGATTCATAGCCTGAATCACAACTCATTGAATTTTCTGGAGTAAGTCCAGAGGCTGCAGTAGGCTTTGGATCACTTCCAGCCTCCAAAAAAATAAATAGCTGAAATTTAATATCCTGATATATATATATGGGAGTCCACATTAGATGAGCTAATAATTTCATTTTGGACTTTAACTCTGTGCATCTTGTCAAGTCTGAAGCTTTTTTGGCCTTTTAAAAGCAGCTGTAGCATGAATTGTCTCAAGAAAACACAAAGTAGATGCCTACACTGCACAGCAGGGTATTCTACAGAGATCCCAGAGCCACTGCTGACTGTACATTGTCCCCTCAGCTGCATGGCACCGTGCCCAGGCTAATAAGACCTGCTGAATGACATAGTTTGTTAGTGTCATAGCAGCTTGGATTTTAGAGCTTCCGATCTCCTCTGTTCCTTGCACCCATCCCCACATGGAAACTCCACCAGTTTCTGTCCTTTCTACTCAGCTTCTTATAGGATTGTTCCCCAATATGTTTCTCACAAAATGGCTCAGGTTAGCAAAAGTCATCTCTTTAATCCAATTAACTTAACGTGGTCCATCTCTGTTGGCTATAAAAAAGGGATGACTTTATAGGAGCCTCTCTGTTGGCATATACAAGTGGCATGGAGCTGCTGGGACTGTAAGGATAAACAGCTGTGCTGGGACATCTTCTATCACCCAGCTGCCACCAAAAAATTCATCCCAAAGATTTTACCCCAGAAATATTACCATGGTCTGTCATCTAAAAGTGTCTGTGTCTTTTTCTCTTTTAAAAACAATGCATCAAGTCCTAAACATCTTATCCCAGGCAATGCTTGCAGTCTTCTACACTGACACAACTGTTTTGTTCTTGAGCAAAGATGTAGCTCAGCATTCAGTCAGGAATTTGGGATTCAGCATTAAATGCAAGTAGAACAATTACAAACAAAAAAAATTCCTTTACTGATTTCTTTGGTCACACTTCAGTTCTTAAAGGAGAGAAATCAAATGTAAAAAGGAGAATGGTATTGCTCCATCTGCTACAAGTTTCAAAGCAGAAAAATGTTCCTATCATCCTAAACACACAAACACCAACATGATAATATTTTCCCCAGACTTTTAAGTCTTATTCCCTCTTAAGACCATTGATTATGCTTCTCTGTGAGAAGAAAGACTATAATTGCAGGTTTCTCTCTAAATATTAAAAGGCAGCAGTGGCAATTTTGCTGAAAGGAGATGTGGCACACAACATTTTCCCATTATGTTTTTCAGTTGCTTTTAAAGTAGAGTGAATCAGCATTGTTTTCCAAATACCAGGAAGGCACTAATAACTCTTATGAAGGAGGAATGGAAGTAACAGTTGGTCATTTTACTGCAAAAAGTAGTTATTACTCTAATAATGAATCATTTGAAACCTTCACATGGTCCATTATAACAATATTTTAAATCAAACTGTAAGAGACTTAACCCCATAAATCTGAAAATGGCCTAAACCCTCTGGGAATGACAATACTTTCTTGACAGGCCAGATTCTTTCTGAAATCAAGAAAGATTTTTACTTTCCTGGGAAAAGCTATGAGACATTCATGTTGTCAGAACTCAGCCCACTGTTTTAAATGACAGCATTGCCAACTGACCATCCTGCGCGCTGTATTATAGTCATTTTCTCTCATCAAAATATTTTCCTGAGCAGTTTAACAAAATGTTCGTCAGTTCAGCATAAAGAGATCCCACTCTTGCCTACATAGGTCCAAATCATGAGGAATCCAATTGAACTAACACCATACCACTGCACATCCGATATATGAAAGGAGAATCAGGCAGGAGAATGAAGCAGGTATATGCTACCTGCCATTTAATATAAACTTCTCAAATTAAGCACCTGTTAACATTAAGTTATACAGCTGTATCATGCATATTTGTGGAAAAAAAATCTTTATACATATGTGTTTGTATTTCAAAATCTAGTTTCTTTTCCATTTAAAAAAGCATCAATCTTTCTTACCCACCACAAGAAAGGTTCTTTCATCGTCTCAGACCCAATTTCTGATGTACGGTAAGGGTTTCCCAACCTTGTTGTACTGTAGAAGTGAATTAGCAGCATTTAGGAAGAGGAAGCAAAGAATGCCAAGAAATCCTCCCAATCTGGACAATACACAAGCACGGTAAATCTGGGACCCAATAGAGAAACTTATAAAGATGACCTGAAACTGAGGTCAACATCAAAATAAAGAAGCAATGTCATTAATAAAAGTGCATGTAATATTTTATGTTGTATGTGGTCTCTGTATCTGGAACTACTCTATATCATGTGCAAAGGTGCTTCTAACTAAAACCTGAAAAAAATTAATGCATAGTTACTAATATTATATAATTCTGGTACTACCCTCTCTTTTTCTTATAAAGTTGTCAAAATAGCACAGTAGATATCAATCTCTTTGGTTTTTGCCCAATCTCTGCCTCGTTACCAAGGCTGCATGAGTAGCATTCACTCAATAGCTCTTGACTTCATGATGGCAAGAGCAGAAAATTCCAATCACTATTCTTTTGTGATGTGCATCCCATACAGCAACTAAGCATGAGCTGCTCTATGAGCTCCCTCCGAAGCACACCCCATGCTCTGACAGTCATGGTACAGGTTGGATGGGGATGGAGGAATGGGGAGGAGCAAGGGGCTTGACCTCAATTATTCCATATTTGTTTGCCAGTCGGTTTGATTTCTTGCCCACCAAAGGGCTAATGTCTAGTTACTAAGCCAGACTGCCTATGCAGTCTGCTCGTAATTGCTATTCCTAAGTCAAGTTATTTCAGATTTCCTGATTCAAAACAAAACCCCTTTGAGATGCTACTAGTCACTCTAAGGAGTAACCTTCCCCAGGAAGAACCATAAAAACTTCACAAAGTTGAAGACATGGAGTGTGGAGAGAGCAGGACTGGAAATAGACCTCCCATCCACATAAAAAAACCCACACCAGAGAAATCCTCCCACCCCTTTCTACATCATCACCCTGTGCCCAAATAAAACAGAAAAAATGTAGGAAAATGTAGAAAAAGTTTCTGAGCAGGCAGGAAATACATCCACAAATGCTTTTCTCCTAAACATTAAGGATTAACATTTAGTGATAAGAAAGCAAATGGGAGGGTCAGACAAACCTGTAAGCAGAAGACGTCCCCTGAAGAAGCCTGCTACAACCTTCAGAGCCATAGCACAGTGAGCACCAGAATTCCCCCAAGAGAGTGTAGTGCTTGTTTGAATGAGGTTTATCTGCCATAAGACAGATCTGGAGAGGAAAACACTGGCTGATGGAGTTTGACATATGGGATCTGAAAATGAAACACTGTCCACCCTTCTTTTACAGCTTTATCCACCAAGAAGGATCTTAGAGCAGGCAGCTCTAGCCACCTATGCAGGTACCCAGGCTGAGCCTTTCTGTATTCACGGAAAGAGAGGTTCTCCAGAGAGTGGTTCAAGAAAGCACTTACACATACTTAACCTTTGAAGTGTGCTTGAACAATATTGAATTCTCTGATTAAAAGAGGACATTTCTAATGTATAGCCATAGTCATGAGAGGGGAATAAATGGCGACAAAATACTAAGAGCATCAATCCACTGTTCCCTCTAGTTACAAACTGTTTTCAAGATTTCTCTTTAGAGTACATGCCTGCAGTGTCTTTAGCTAACCTGGCCTGTTGCAGAAGTGGAAGCAGGACTAGGTCTATTAAGAAATCATCAAATAAGAAAATCTTCTGATTCAAGGGCCTCTTGGACTTGGTTCCCAAGGGGAAATCCCTGGGAAAACACACTGATGAGTAAGATTAACAATAACAGTGTCAACTCATCTTGTAAATCCACCACAGTATTTCTAAAATGGTTCACTCAAAACACTATAAACCAGACAGTTTTTGTGCTCAAAGCAACAGAAGTGTTTGCTTATAGCAAAGTGTACGTGTGTCTCCCTCTGACGCTCTTTGGGTATTTCAAGCTAAAATCCTCTATGCAGTATAACGACTATGTTTCCCAAAGAACTCGAACACACTGCTGAATATTTTAGGCATATTGAAATAAAAATATTCCCTTGACAATGTTGTATGCTCAATTTCAGCACAAAAAAAAATAAAAGAAATACGTATGTAAATGCAGAGGCATACTTACAACATTTTATAATCATTACTTAGAGCAGAGAGTGGGTGGTTGTCTTGTCTTTGACAGTTCTCACATTTTTGCAGTCTGAGTAAATGTGGAACAACAGGAAGCTCTGACACCCTGTAAAACATATAGCACAGCCAACTCTTGTACTTCTGTTTTCTTCCAGCCAGTGAGGGTTCATTTTTTCTTGCTTCGGGCATTCAGTTTAAGAGTTTGTTTAAGCAGGCCAGAATACAGTCCATGAAGGAAAATAAGCGTGCTGAAGTGGCTTGAGTCTGTATTTTTTACATGTGATTTTATTTTTTCTTGAGTTGTCATGCTTAAAGTAAAATTGTTTTCAAACATGTGCTTTAATCATTATTATTCAGTATTAACAGAAAATAACCTCTGTACACATTTCCACTTGAAAGAAAAAAACAAAACAAAACCATACAACAATGATGTTTCCACCCAAGGAGCCTTACTGCATGCAAGATTTTTTTGTATTTGTATTTCCTATTTTTGAATTAATAGCTTGTTATAGTACCTCACCATCTTCAGAGCAAAGGCTGCAAGTTTTCATACTGAATACTAGTATTTTGTTTCTCTCTCAAAATTTGCAGTAAGCTTTGGTAGTGTACCTGGATATCAAAGCCAGTGGTCTTTTGGCCACAAAATGACAGTAAAACCTAGTGTGCACAGTAATTCAATGTAAAAATTCTCTCCCTGAGTATTTAATAAAGCATATTCTTTGTTGTCGTTGTTGCTTGAAAATATGGATGTTTGAGGAATAATGTATGACTGAATGCATAGAAGAATATCATAGGAAAGCTGTCATGTGTTACATTACAATTCAGGGTTTTTGTATGTTCAAAGTTCTTATGTCAGTCAATATTATCTTAGGAACTGGCCCTGCAGCCAATAAATCAAAGAGCAGTTTGTCACTGATTTCACAGAAACATGCTGTAAAAGAGTAGGTATTTCTCAAAGTGAAACACTTCCTTCTTCCAAACCTTTTAGGCAACCTATAGGAAGATGTAGAAGACTGGAATGACTATCTGTTGAATGCAAAAGGGGAAATGGCTGAAGGGTACAAACAAATGCACCAGCACTCACCATCACTCTTTGATATTGGCTGATCTTGAACAGTGAGTAACATAGCCAACAGCATTTCCAAAATTTGGTCTTTGGTTTTGTCTCTGATCCTGTACACTTTGTGGTGCATTATTTTCATCCTCCTCACTCAACATAAGAAGAAATGTCAGTAATTGTTCTCTAAGAAATGTACCAGGGAAAGCTCCAACAAACAATACTTTCTGCTATTGTAAGAAACCGAGAAACTTAAATAAATAAATAAAACCCGCTAAATCAGTGTTAAGGCAGTCACAGCTTTCCATTCAATTTTAGCAGAGAGCTATTTTGAATTGAGGTACAGTACTGCCCTAAGTGTTTGCACTGCATAGTGAATGCAGCAAAGTAGTTTGGTTCATTGAGGCTTAATATTGGACTAAAAAAATCTTAGAAGAATAGAAAAAGAAAGCTGATCAAAAATCTCCTGCATTGCTGTTACTTTTGGGTTGCCCTGAGCATGCTACAGTGACTCTACAAAGGCATTAGCTTCTTTTCCTGTAGATATCTAAATGCAGTACCAACATCAGTCTCTTCAGGTTTGCATCTGAATATAAACCTTCAGAGAGAATACATTTCATTTAGACAACACATTAGCACCTCCTACCATTTTATAACCTGCACATCTGGAAAATTATTTTGCCCTCGTTGCTGAGACACATGAATGCATTGTGATCCTTTCAGCATACCACTTCCAGTCTTCTCCTGTTGTTCAAAATCTATTCCTTTGACTCAGAATGCTGATAATAAATTTAAGATGAGATCAGTGACTATACATTCATGGTGGGTAACTTCCAAATACCACATTAACAGAAGGACAATAGGAGCATTTTTAGATTATTAAGTACCAGAAAGTATTGAAAAATGCAAACGAGGAAAAATAGCTAATTTCTCCGGCATGGATAATTAAAACAGAAATACACAAACACTTTTTGTATTAGATAGAAAACCTAATTCAGCCCTAACTATAAAGTCATCACCTATTTCATCTTCTTACCTCTACTATGTATTTTAAAAAAAAATAAATGTGAATTTACATTATAAACTTGACCTGAGTATGTTTCCCCCCATAGGTATATCTCAAAATTGTCATTTATTTGCTAAGAGATGCAAAATGTTGGATTTTCTGAGTGTTCTGATGAGGTGCCAGTGTATATTTAGAGATATATAGATATATAGGTATAGATATTACAAAATCTTTTAGTCAGTTTTTAACAAATTCTGTTAACAAAGTCAAATGGTCTACAAAAAATTTATTGTGAGAGTTAGAGAATCACCTAACTGGAGAGACTTGGCTTTTGCCTTGGCTCACACTTATTTGCAGTCCTGTTCCAACTCTACTCTGACCTTAGTTTTAAGATTTAGCAGCTCTTTAACAGTCAGCAGTTCTCTAACAGTCCCTAGGAGGTTTTTCCATAAGGATCTGTTTGATCCTTACTATAATTCACTCCTGAATTCCTGTCCCAGTTTTCTTCTAACTGGATACAGCCCAGTAAGCTGTACCTACAAACCAGCAAAGCCTTCTCAGTGCTTTCCCAAGAGGGTGGGAAATGGCTAACAGCATGAAGTGGCCCAGGCAAATATCACCATCCTGCTTCCCTTTCTAAAACAATTAAAGCAACACTTTCATACTGTTTTCTGCTCCAGCAAGTTAGTGTACGAGAACAAACTCCCATTTCTGTATACATCCTGCTTTGCATGTGCAAAATTATGCTTGCATGGAGACTTCAAGGTTTGTTTGCAGCTCCAGTTGTGTTTGCACATATCTAAGCCAGGCACAGGATTTGAAATGTTTGTCCCTTTACTTTTTTCTGCTGAGAATAAATACAATTTATCTTAGAAAAAAAAAAAAAAAACCAAAACCACTTTTTGGAGGGCTCTAAGTTGCTGGAATATGCTGATACAGAAAGTATTGCTTTAGTCACAGTAACATTACTTTCACAATGCTATAGAACAGTTCAAATACATTTATTGATTAGCATTAATGTAATTACAATGGAAACTCCTGTTCTC